GGAAGCTAATCGTGCGATTTATCTATATTTATTTATTTATTTATTTATTTTAAGGATAAACCTAGCGAAAATGGAAAACAAGGCGTCCAGTGCCTAGCTAGTGTTGGACACTAGTTTACGAAGGCCACGAACAACCCCCAATGTATTTGTTATTTTTTGGAGGGAACGTGGTTGCGACCAAAGGAACTGAACGAGGGCGCACTCCCTGTTCCTTGTTTATGAAAAACCGTGCACCTACAAGTATTTTGGATGAGAGCTTTGTAGGTGTCATGTAAACATGCATGTAAAATAGTGAAATTGTTGGCAGTATACTACGAATATAATTGCTAGATAGTCAAATATGAACGATAGTGATTCAAATTCCGAGACTCTGTGAAGGTATGAGGTCAGACTTGGCGTCGGGTTGTAAATAAGCGTTCCTGGCCTTTGTCGACTTCCATCGTCCGTGCCTTGAAATCAGAAAAGGTGAGACATAGGCGTTTAAGGCTGCAGTTGCCCCTCCCTTCTTTTCCAAGAATTAAGATATTGCTTGGTGGTTGAAGATGCCTTGGCAGTCATCAGGAGTGAAGGAAGATCATAGACTGCCAAGGCTTGTAATGATGGCGAGGACAGCTTGCTCCATTCTTCTGCCAAATGGAAGATATAAAAAAGAAACAAAACAGCAAATCCGACAAAAATAGCGTGGTCGCATAAAAGGGCGACAACTTTTGACGATCATGATCATGACACAAATAATGATCGGTGTAAATAAATGCTATGCATTTGCTTCTTTAATATGATATATGCGATAGTTTAAAAGGGAAGTTATTTTGGGATGGGAGGGCAACAGAGCTCTGACTGCATAACCGAGAATGAGCGTGTAAGCTCGAATCTCGAATAACGAGAATGCATATAACAAAAGATTACGTAATGCAGCTGTTCGCGGAGGTATATGCGTTCGATAACGAACATAAATTTCACTTTATGCACACGCGGCATATACTAGAACCGTACTAGATTTAGGAAAATCAAGGTTGACGCATTCTCGATCGCCGACTGAGACGACGTGACGCATGCGCAGTGCCTTAAAATGACGTCACACGTTACAGTCAAAGCTGTCGACGTGCAAATCTAAAAGTCCCTAATAACAGCCGATCAGCGAGCTTGTACCATGGACCTATTACGGATGGAAATTCAACGTGATTCTTTCTTTGATCCAATGATAGTCACCGCCTTCTGATTAATGAGAACATTCCGCTGTTTTAACAATAACGACTGCGTAAGCATTTTCGGTCATTGACAAATTAAGGCAGGCGCGGATCCAGGATTTCTTAGGGGGGGGGCCCAAATTTGAAATTATGCGAGCCAAATATTGGTACGTAATGGTGACCAACAGTGACGTGATGCGGGGGGGGGGGGGTCGGTGCAGGGAGGGGCGAATTTCTCCCTCCCTCCTCCGCGAAACGCGGAAGCTTTGACGTTTCATTAAATCATTAGAGAAACAAAACGATTCGTTGTACAGTTCTCAAAAATAATTCTCGTCTGAATTTTGTTTTTCCCCTCTCGCGCGAAGCGCGAAAAATTTTAGGATTCATTAAATTATTAGAGAAACAAAACGATTCGTTGTAGAGTTCTCAACTCTAAATCCTTGTCTGAATTCAGGTTCCCCACTTCCCGCGCAAAGCGCGGAAGCTTTCACGTTTCATAAGATTATGAGAGAAAAAAGACGATTCGCTGTACCGTTCTCGATTGTTAATCCTTGTCTGGGGCGGCGGCGAAGCCGGCCCCGGAAGCATAGAGGTTTTAGACGTTTAATTAAGGTCATATGAGCATATTTTCTTTAGTATACCTTATTATTTCGTGACACTGGCAGGTAACTATTTGGCGTTGGGTCCAGGGGGCGGAGCCCCCCCAAAAAAAAATCAGGGGTTTTAGGCATTAAATTACCGTCAGATGAGCATCTAAGGGCCCGCCGTAGGGCCCTTGGTGGGATCCAGGGGGCAGAGCCCACGGAAGCTTAGGGGTTTTAGGCATTTAATCACGGTCAGATGAGCATATTTTGATGCTTCATTATTTGTTAACACTGGCAGTTAACTATTCTTTCTTTCTTGCTCATTTCTCTTTAATATACTTTTTCAAAAAAAGTGTGGGGGGGGGGGGGGGGAGAGCTCGAGGCTCCAGATCCCCACCGTACCTCGCGCCCTGACATGGAGGAATCTCAAGAATCACATTTCTTGCCTGGCTGCAACTTTAGGAATTTGTCATTTTTGAACAAACACATACAAACGTATAATTTACTAAAAATCTCGGAAAAATCTCGGAAACGATGTCATTTCAGCATTATTTGTAATCCACCGTTGTGGAATTAGAAATAAACCACGTTTGAATTTGATTTCCACTAACCCCCCCCCCCTCCCTATCAGTACGCCAGTATCTCCTCTTTTCCTTTCCCTTTCCTTCCTTCTCTCTTGTTTGTTTATGGGGGGGGGGGGGTCAACAGCCTGGGAGGCAAAGCCCTTTCGGCCCCCGATCTCCTTCTTCCCCCTTTTCTTTTCTTCTTCCTCTTCTTTCTTTCCCTTTCTCCTTTCGCTTCTTTTCCTTTTTTCTCTTTTTCTCTTTTTTTTTTGGCGGGGGGGGGGGGGCAAGGCCCGCTCGGCCCCCCCCCCCTGGATCCGCGCCTGAATTAAGGAGCGGTTTCCCTCTCTTGGGTTTTGTTTGGATGGTGTGCTCTGTATTAAGAGTATGTCTTAAATAAAAACATCCCCAAGGGGGAGCAGCAAAGTTGGAAAGCAGACGATTTTGGAGATATGAAATGTATTATTACTGATTTGCACACACCCATGACCTTAATATAAAACAATTAGAAGGCCATGATCTTTATAAGCCCTGTGCGTTGTAACTCTGGAATATTATGAGGAAATAGGGAAACGGGATTTTAAATCACAACCAATCCAACTATAAACTCTATCTAGTATATCAACATGTTTTTCAAAATAAAATACAGTACACGGAACAACAATTTCCGATTATAAGCCATAACTGCACATCGATTTTCCATGATTTAGGCGAGTAATTATCTTCTGCGCATGTAGATTAACATGTGTAAACTCACTATCTTGATTCTGTCCCGGCTTTTTGGCGGTGACCATCATGAGATCAAAGTGAAGAAACATGTACGGAATGTTATTGAGACGACATTGACGGAGACAATCACGATGAATTCGTTAAGAAAACGATGAATGTCCACCCGTAATAGGTCCATGCTTGTACCAAAGATTTTTCGTATGGGAATTTCGTCGTTTTATAACGAAGGATGACGAATTTCAACGCGCATGGGCGGATCTAGCTTTTTTCTACGGGGGGGGGGGGGGGCAGTGAGCACTAAATTATTTGTTTTCATTTGAAAAAAGTGCCAACCAATATTTCGGTGGGGGGGGGGGGGGGGGTAGAAAGCACCCCAAAAAAGTTTTCCTCTTTTTTTTGGCCAGCCCAAGGGGGATTTAAACCCCCCAACCCCCCCCCCTAGATCCGCCCCTGACGCGAACGCCTCTTCGGTGAGTTTTTTTTCTTCTTCCGATTATTGTTTCTGAACTTTAAAAACATGAAAATGGATATAATATGAATTTTTTTAAAAACTTGATGATAAATTGTTGAAATTTGATATAAAGCCGTTTTGTGGCTTGGTCGAGACAAGTTGTGCTAAGTCGTGTAGTACCGTCTGTACTGTATTGCGTGGCAGGGAATAGGCCATTTTCGTAATGTAATCAAATTTAATACATAAATCTCTGTGAAGTTCCTCAATACAAATTATTTCATTCACCTGTCTAGTATTCGCAATAGTCAGAATGCAAGCTGCATGTATTAAGTGTGGTAACAACTAATGAATGGAGGCTGGATTCTGTTCATTTAAATACTATTATTCTTATCAGGTGAATGAAATAGTTTGTATCGAGGCACTTGATTGACTTGGGGCGTCATTGAGAATATAGATTTGGCCAAAACCCGGATTTCAGTACCTCAGCGGTCATCCCGTTGTTATTATAGTAGCTTCTCGATTTTGCACACGAACCGCAGATTCTCCGTCCGCAAAGAGTTTCGAAGCCATTGCTTTGCCACTGAATCATGACTGTATACAGTGGGGGCTAGGGTAGGGGGCAGCCCCACAAACACAACACACAAAGAAAATGCAATAAATAGTCTATAATTCATTGCATATCCCCCCCCCCCTGCGTATTTCCATTTTCATATAGTCCCATAAGGCTCTTGTCTGTTATCTCAGATGACAATTTGTTCTTTAAAGTCTGTATTTCTTTCCTCATCTTTAAAACATAATCTCTAGTATATTTGTAAAGCGCTTAGAGACATTGTATTAAGCGCTATATAAAAGCTAAACACTATTCTTATTAATATTGAGCTTTCATTAACCTCATTTACTCTGGAATTTTTCAGACATTCTATCATACATAACCAACTTAACAGCTGAATCGTCAGGCGCTAAGGAGGGAATAATGTCACATTTAGATGTTAGATCTGTTCTAAATTCTCTGATATCAATGATCCAAACGGCTTTGCATACATTGATTTCCTTGACTATTTGTATATTGTTTTCTATCTTTATTTTTTTTATTTTTTATTTCTCCATACATCTGTTAATTTAAATTCATCCATTATTTGCTACTGAATTTTGATTACTTATTTTAAACTTGTCCAAAATAATCTAAGTCCCTGTCTCTATTAACATTAAAACCACCTCCAAGAGCTACTGGGTTCCCTTTTGGATTGTTCTTATACAACAACTGACTTAAATCTTCTAACCTTTTAATTTGCTCTCCTTCATTACTTACATTCGGAAACTGAATAAACATTGTTGTAGAGATCATATGCAGAAACGGTGATAGCCAATCGATGTTATTTAGGTACATATAATAAGAAGCTGTTGTCTTTCGCAATACGAACCACATTTAACTTCGTACACAACCTCAAGCGCAGTATCGATCCCTTTTAAACATCCATTAAACCTAGTTATGACGTCGTCATCGCATTAGGAACCACCTTACTTTAAGTACACGACTTCAGCGGCAGTATCTCCAGGACCTGTACGGAAGCAAAACTATAAAGGTAATAATTATTATAGATATTTTAGAAAAGGTGCTCAATTTGTATACGTAATCTATCTGACTTTCATGAGTTAGAGTAACAAAGCTGTACGTGCTGTAAAGCCAGTCATTAATATTCTTGTTCCATATCTGTTAATATGTCACGCTTACTGAATTATGTGTCTATAGCAAAGAGGCCCTATATTTCGCGTTAATACAAAACAGGTTGTAATAATTATCTACATAATTATATAAGTATTATCAAGATTATTTGATATTCATTTCTTAATGACATAACATTCTCAATGATATGTGTGCTCACTTACTATAGTTATGATTTAATAATGATGATGGTAATATTATGATCATGAAATAAATTAAAGGTATTGATAACAATAACACTCCTAAATGTATGGCTTAAAGTCGATGCAATTTTTGTGTGACGGTATGGTATGGTATATCTTATTTATTCACGGTTAAAAACACATACCATAATTATGCCCACATTTAGCATATGCTGTTTTTCAGTAAAGCCGTGGTTAGATTCAATTCCATTCAAATGAACATTTATTTTCTTCCAAACAATACAATTTATAAGTAGGAACATAAATATAATTAAAGAACTTGTATTACAAGGAAGAAGGCGCAAAACCCGAAAAGCATAGCTTGTAGTGGGTACGCCCGAATACATAAATACAATTATACATTATAAATGGGAGAAAGGAAGAAAGGGATAGGCACAGAGGAGAGGAGGAGAGAGAGCTTGGAGAAAGAGAAAAGAAGAGAGGAAAAGAAGAGGACTGCAACATACACTGTCGCTCATGAAGGTGGAATATTTTTTTTTAATTCCAATTTATGGAATTATTTTAAAAATAATTTAAAAATGATAGATCTAGATATTAGTATACATTCTCAGATTTTATTGAATAATAATTTGCCATTGTGTGTTTTGCGTCACTGCTAAAGCATGTGTATGCTACTATGCTTATCAACTAGGGTACCTATGCCCTTAAGTCATAAATGACAGTAATGAGGATTAATGCCCCACAAAAGGGCACTAATATAGCACATCGACACGGTTTTGATCCTGGGGCCTCACAGTTACGAGGCCATTGCTTTGTCACTGAACCATGACTGTACGCAGCGGGGGCTATGGTAGGGGGCAGTTTCAATCAATTTAAAAAAAAACAGAAAATGCAACAAAAAAAATCAATAATTTATTGCATTTAACCCCGGTGCCTAACATTAAAAAAAAATTGTGTGCCCATGCCTTGAGCCATAATGCATGGCCGTCCAGAGGATTTGATATGTTGGGGACCGGGGTAAAATGCAATAAATTATTGATTTTTTTTTGCATTTTCTGTGTTTTTTTAATTTATGGAAACTGCCCCCTACTCTAGCCCCCGCTGCGTACAGTCATGGTTCAGTGACAAAACAATGGCCTCGTAACTGTGAGGCCCCAGGATGAAAACCGTGTCCATGTGCTTTATTAGTGCCCTTTTGTGGGGCATTAATCCTCATTACTGTCATTTATGACTTGAGAGCGTAGGTCCCCTAGTTAATAAGCATAGTAGCATACACATGCTTTAGCAGTTCCGCAAAACACACATTGGCAAGTTATTATTCAATAAAATCTGAGAATGTATACTATTATCTATAAATCTATAAATTGGGGTAAAACTAAAATATTCCACCTTTATGAGCGACAGTGTAGTATCAATGGAGTGTATGGCATGCATAAACACCATAATGGCAAGATATAGGTGAAGAGTGTAGTGTTGAAATATTAGACTGCATATATACATAATATATATATACATATATATTTACTTCGTTACAAGTACATGCATTTATACAACATAGGCCTATACATACATACATACATGTATGTTTACATAATTATACACATGCATACAACACATATATACTTATACATCCATATACATCCCTTATACAATATAAATACACACTCGTCCAACATAGGGATAATAATTATGCATTGTAATTTAAAATGATACATTTTTTAAGCTTCCAAGAGAAGCTTAACAGAGATATAGATTTCCTCATAGGTTCAGGTAAATCGTTCCAAAGCTTAGGACCGGTGAAACGGATATTATTTTGAAAAATAAGTTCATGGTGTTTAGGAATATAGATTTCTTCAGATGATCTGGTACCATCCTTATGTATATCTGAAACACGTTGGAATTGGCCGCAGAAATGAGAAGGTAGATAAAATTCGAACAATGGAATATAAAACATTGAAAATACAATTTACAAACAAATATGTAAGTTATAATACATCAACATATTTACAGAAATGTAAGTACAAAATAGAGTCATAGTGACAAAAAATAGATAAAGAGAACATAAAAACATTTAGTATCCACGAGATGAAAGAAGTGAGCCAATATTATCAATTTTACTGATCTCGATACTGTAAGATTTAACATCATTACAATTCATATATCGTTGGGCAAGGTATTAAAAAGCTTTGATTCATGGTATAATGGACTATGCTGAAGATAATCTGTGTGAGGTCCTTGAAGGGGAATTTGTGAATTAGCATAACGAAATATATAGCCTACGCCATTATAAAATTCGATCAATGCGATGTTATTCCATTCTTATCACACCCAATGTCCACAAGGTCGATGGCATTGTTCTTATTGTCTATCTTTGTCTCTGTCTCTCCCCCTCTCTCTCCCCTCTCTCTCTCTCTCTCTCTCTCTCTCTCGTCTAAATCATTATAAAATTCGATCGATGTGATGTTAATTAACCGTCCTTACGGCATTCTTATCACATCCAATGTCCACAACGTGGAATTGATGGCCAAAACTGATAATAATAATAATAATAATAATAGTGAACATTTACAATGCGCCATGTCTGTCAAAATTGACACTCCTGGCGCAGTTGTGTGGAAATTGTATAATGTCGGGCGTACGACCATCAAGAAAGAAAATAAAATAAGTTAAAGTTCATGTGGAATCTTTTGAGAAAGAAAAAACGTGAACGTGAAATATAGTTTCACAGAACGTAAGTTTTATATACAAAATTATTATGTAGGTATGTAGAAACGCAAAGAGCCACGAACGAATGGTCTCTTTATCTTTGTGCTCCACACTGACTAAGCGGCTCAATACAGTCACTTAAATCACTTTATGAAAGGAGACTGCGTCTTGTGCAATCCTAAGCCGCGATTGTGGCCGTTTCTTCTTTCAAAGGAACATAATACGTCATCTAAGGTTTACGGGTTTTACTCTTTAGATTTACAAGATTATTACAGATCCAAACAAAATGCAGGTCTAATTTAGAAATAAGCTTACCTTTTTCATATAGTCTCGATCCGATGGATAGTGGCGTACATGTAGATTCAGGGGGCACACAGGGGCAGTACCCCCATCTAATCACGAAGAACAAGAAAAAAGACGGAAATGGATAATAAAAAGAGAAAGAGAGAGAGAGAGAGATAAGAGAAAAATAGAGAGAGAGCGAGAGAGAGATATATACATAGAGAGAGAGAGAGACAGACAGAAAAGAGAGAGAGAGAGAGAGAGAGAGATGGACAGAGAAAAGGATGAGAAATGGACGAGATAAGAAGACTATACAGGACTACCCCCACAGCCCCCATTGAGAGTCTTGTAAATTAGTATATCATTATCCGAGTGAGAATAGTGTCCTTCCCTTCCCTCCCCTCTTGATGCCAGCCCCTCAATGACTGGACCCATGGGACACCACTACGCCACTGGCATGGCTCCCCCTTCCCCTCACATGATATGTATTATTTGTTTTATAAGATTGTGTTTTATTAGTTTTTATAAAATGATGTTTTATAACATGATTTTACTACACTGTAAAAATCCGTTGGGCAGATGTTACTGGGTAAATCGAAGTTGGGCAAATTTTGTCCGATAATTGGGTTATTTTCTCCCATCCGTTTACTATATGAAGTTACCCAATGAAAGGTGAAAAATAGGTTGGGTAATGTCATTGAGCAAATAAGAGTTGGGCCATTTTTGTCCAACATTTGGGTTATTTTCTCCCAACCATTTACTACATGTATTTACCCAATTAAATGTTCAAAATAAGTTGGGCAGATGTAACTGGGTAAACGTAAGTCGGGCAACATTATTATCTCATAAAATGGATTATTTTTTTTTATTAGAAGTGTCGTGGTCGAGTGGTTATGTCACAGGACTATGAATTTCGAAGTCCGCGGTTCGAGTCCCGCTGCGGCACTAATCTCCTTTTGCATATAATATTTTATCCAACTTCTTTGCTTAACTAGTGTGTAACTTATGTTATACATTATAGTGAGAATTGGGTGAATTTCTGATTGGGTAAATTTTTGTTGGTTAAAAGTTGGGTATTTTCTTTTTATCCAACACTGGGTAAGTCATGCAAAATCTTTAATTTACCCAACAGTTAGTTGGACACATAATCGCCCTCATGTTGGGTAAAAATTGGGCAATATTTTGCCCAATATTAGTTTTTAGAGTGTAATGACCGGTCATTAGAATTGGATAATGACCGGTCATTATCCAAATTACGCGTTAGGCAAAATAAATGCCTGGTCACGTGTACGCTTTCAACCAATCATTAGATTAGGATCCACGTCATCATCTTATAAATAATAATAGCCCGCGTAGACCTGAGTTGAAGTAGAGTGGATGGATGGGTGATTGTTTGAGACCGTCTTCTTATTTAACAGTTTCATGTTAGCTATGTTTTATGATATTTTCTTGTCGTCTCGTCTAAGGAATTCTATGTATATACTTTTTATCATTCTGCAGGTCCATTGTCGCTAGTTTTCATCGATTTTTTAAAACCTGATTTTCAACTTAGCTTATAAGCCCAGTGTCGGGTTTCATTTTTTAGTAAGATACAGAACATTGCCATTGCTTTGGTATCGTCAATTCTGACGGCTGAACTATAGGAGTTCTTACCAAAATCTATCAAGTTCTTCTGAAACACTCTGGGCAACATGGATGCCCCGAAGGTGAATTGTGAGGAGAGCTCCTGGGGGACGGCCCCGGAGCGGGAAGAGAAGAGTTTACGAACGCTTCTTAACAGTCGAATGGAGAACTCTTCAGCACACGGCATACCAAACATTCAACGCTCCTCAGGACTAGTCACTAAACTCGCTTGGTCACTTATCTTTCTGGCTGGTATTGGTGTCATGACTTGGCAAGCTGTCATTCTCTTTCAAACTTATTTCGAGTGGAAATACTCGGTCGATATTGAGGTGAGTAAAAAATCTTGATCTAAATGCTTCATGGAATATGGATAAGTGGTTATGATTATTCGGCGTATAAAATATTAAACTACATAGCAGGGGTTCTCAAACTCTTTCCTTGACGTTCCTTAATTAGAACAATGTGCAGTTGCTGGATAGCCTGACACGACTCAAACATTTCTCAAGTTTGTTTCAGGCTCAGAAAATCTACTCCTTAAATTCACAGTAATGACAGTTGTATAGTGAAAAAGGGGCTTCAGTTGGGTCTATTTCTAATCTAAGGGGAATTGGCAGCAAGGAGATCAAATTCATATAACTTGTCGCACAGTACCAGATTAGCAACTTTAAACTGCAAAAAATTACTCCTAATTCAGAGGTAGGGTAAAACTATAAATTTCTAAACGGCGGATCCATGATTTAAAAAAAAAAAGGGGGGGGGGCATGCCAACGTGTGAGCGAAGCACATGTGCATTGCGAGCGAGTAAAAACGAGCCCTTCTGGTGGGGGCCAAGGGGCAGAGCCCCTGTCGAGGTTCCCGGGGGCGCAGCCCGATGCATAGCCTTTAAGATAGCTGTCTTGAGTAATAGAAACACACACTATTTTACATGAAACACTGAAAAGATTTCCATCCTATCCAATACGTTGCTGAACAGTTATTCAGAGTAGCGATTCTTATGTTTTGTCCTTCTCTCTCTCTCTCTCTCTCTCTCTCTCTCTCTTTTCCCTCCCCCCCCCCCCCCATTTTACCGTCGCTCTCTCGTCCTCCTTTGTTTTGTTAAGGCCGCCAAAGGAGAAGACCTGTTATACAGTGCGTCCCAGAAAAAACGAAACCGAAAATTATCGATGTTTTATCTGAACTTAATCACAATTATAATTAATAAATGACTCATATTTCGAAAGCTTAGATCCTCCTCTTTTATTTGATGCAACTTGTATAATCCATATTTCACGTATGAGTGATTAAAATGAATTTGAAGAGAGGAAAACAAAAAGTCATTTGGCGGACGGTATCTGAATTTCAAAGAGAAAATCACATTTCTAAAAATTTGAGTTTCTGCCCTTTCATATGACACCTCAGTCAGGAAAATGAGCCAGGAATAACAAAGTTCTGTTTAAAGTAGTGCTTGCATTTCCATAATTTTTTTAAACGAATTCGTTTTCACTGGCTGTCTGCTGTAGCAACAAACGGAATTAACAAAAGACTTAACTCCGTTTTGTTGACAATCAGCCGTAGACGAAAGACATTCCATTATCGAATTATTAAATGGCATTGTTGTGTGGTTATTAAGGTAAGGAATAGTACATTTAAAGTGCTCTCTATCAATATTGCTCCTAGCTCACTTCTCTCAAGAAATTTACAATACTCTACATGATTTGAGATTTTTCTTTTTTCATTCAATTTTGTTGAAAGAATGCCAAGTTCAAAGTAAGAGGTACGATTTCAAATTATTGAGCTTTCTTAAAATCGTGGCTCGATGACCCCTCTCCCTAAGATCGACTAACCCCACAGGTGTAATTTTGACCGAGTTTGATCCCAATGTAGATCTAAATTTAGGCCAAATTATGTTACAGAATGTCATGTTCCACTTTACATCATACGATGCTCAAACGGGGTTACGCAACAAGGGCAGTGTGGACTCTTTTGATTTTTTTCTTTAAAATTAGCCAACCTTAAGAAGATGAACAACGGTTATGGAAAAAAATCTGTTGACTTAAGATTTTGGATGGATTTAACAACAGAACACTAGAAAAGACTTTGAGTATTCATTTTAGACCTTGAATTACATTGAGCAGAGTCAGCGCTCCGGGGGAGGGGGGGGGGGTAGGAGGCAGGGAGCACAGTCCTCCCCCCCCCATTTTCATGTACCCCCAATGTGCCCCTTTATACATAGAACAACCGCTCCTTTTCTTTATAAGAACTGCCCCTTCCCCTTCTAATAAGTGCCACTTTTCCTTTTGATAAGTACACCCACACATGTTTTTCATAAGATCCCCTTTCACTTTCTTATTAATGTTCCTTTTCACCACAGATAAATGCCCTTATTATAATATGATAAGTGCCCCTTCTCCTTTGACAACTGCCCCTTTTCCTTTGCAATAAGTGTCCCTTTTTCATTCTCATAAGTGTTCTTTTTCATCTCTGGTAAGTGCCCCTATTCAGGTACGAGAAGTACCCCTTACCACCTTTGAGAAGTGCCCTCTTCACCTCTGTCCGTATTCAAATCTGACAGGTACACGTTTTAATTTGACAATTGCGCCTTTTATTTGGATACGTGCCCCTTTTTCTTCTGATAAGTGCCCCCTTTCCTTCTCATAAATGCCCCCTTTTTACCCCCAATAACTGTAACAATAAAAAATATGACAGGTGCTCCTTTTCCTTTATAATAAGCGCCCCTTTTCCATTCTCATAATTGCCCCTTTTCAGGTGCGAGAAATTTTCTTTTTCAAGTTACCTCTGATATTCTTTTCCCTTTTTTTTCTTTGACTCGTTCCCCTATTCCATTTAATGATTACACTTTTACCTTATGATAAGTGCCATTTCCCCTTTGCAATAAAAACCCCTCTTCCTTTCTAATAATTACCATATTTCCTTCGGATAAGTGCCCCTTTACCTCTCATTATGATCCTCTTCCCCTATTCAAAATGCCTCTTTTTACATCTGATAAATTCCCCTATTGAAATCTGATAGGTGCCCTTTTCCTTCAACAGATGCCCCATTTCCATTCTCACAAGTGCCTTTCTTCATTTCTGTTGAGCGTCCATTATCAAGTGCAAGAAGTGCCCAATTTTTAGCAATTGATAATTGCCCTTTTTACCTATATATGCGCACCTTTCCTTTTCTAATAAGTAATAACTGTCCTTTTCTCTTCTGATAAGTACCTACTTTTCCTTTCTGCACAACACGAACTCCTAATTCAAAACGACTTTATAGCCCTTTTCCCCTAGAGCTTGCTCGCATTCATATAGTTGATACTAATGTTACCTATAAAAGAACTTTTCAGTCTTTCTTCATTAGATTATGCTTAAAACTCATCAAGGTTTGTTTTTTGTTCTCTTCTAAACAGGTATTTTTTTCGAACTGCGACCTCACAAATCTTAAAATGTTTGCTCGCTCGAAAATTAATATTCAGACCATCTCACACACCTGCAGAGTATGTTGCTTATGCAGTATCTTGTACCACGTAAAGAGAGAAACAAATATTGATATCATCGCTGGTAGTGTAATCACAATCATAAAGATGTAGGGGTATATACCAATTTCGAAAAATGGTGTATGTTCACTTTGAGGTTTCCCTTTGTAGGTGCCCCTTTTTTCTCCAGAAAGTGCCCTGTTTCGTTGTTGCCCCTCACTTTGGAAGATGCTTCGCGCCTCCGACCTTAAGTGCAGCTATACAACCTACGCCCTTCGCGTCAGTTTAACATACTTATCACCATTGCATTAACTTCAAGGTACCATTCTAACAGAATTATTCACTTTCATAGGCCACGGGGATTACTCAATATTTAAAGAAGAAAATCGTCATCGAAATAATTTACATTCACGTTTCATTATCTTTACAAATCATCATTCACTGTCGAATGTTCACCCCCTCCCTGTACATAGTTTCTTTGATTACTTACATACATAATTGAAGAATTTTGTAAAAGCGTTTGCTCTACTTGTCATGCTTGTTAAGTGAAATTTTAGAGCAAATATTCAATTTGAGGAGAAAGGGAGAAGAGGATGCGATATGTGTCAGGATTTTAAAAAGAGTTCGATAAAATATTTCTAAATGGGGTGGGGTGTCCCTGGCTACGCCAATTTTCAAGGGATTCAAAGTTCCTGTGCTGAATCATGAATGTGAGTCCCGATCCGACCTTGAATATACATTTGATAATAATGATAATTATTAGATTTATAATTATAATGATAATAATAATATTAATGACGATGGTATTAATAATGATAATCATAATAATAATGAAAACAATAATAATAATAAGAAGAAGAAGAATAAGAATAAGAATAAGAATAGCACTACTACTGCTACTACATAGTAGTAGTACTAGTTGTTGTAGTAGTAGTAGTAGTAGTAGTAGTTAAATAAGATAAATACATTACATTTTATTTCTAGAGTACCTTATCAAGATAAAAGGGCATTAACGCAATAACAAAAGATACAGTGCAAAACAAAGAAAACGATACAAAGAAGTTTAAAAAAGATGTATTTAAAGAGACCTTCTGAATGTTGCGAAAGATTGGCAAATCTTAAATTGAATGGCTGAGTAGTTCATTACCTTGAAAATAAATGATCCTATAAAACGGTTTTGATCTGTGGCTGTTTTTGCATACCCTTAGTGGATATGTCACCAGACTGTCGATCACAAGGTCCGCGGTTCGAGCCCCGACGCGGCCCTAATGTCCTTTGGCAAGATATTGGTGTACATTTGCCACACTCAACCTAGTCTTCAGGCACAGACCCTAATTTGACACTTTATCAACAAATCATTGTGCCTTGAGAGAAGTCTAGCCCAGCTACCTACTGGCTGTGTCAGGAGCAGCTACAGTATATGGCCTATGGTAGTCTTATAGTGCAGACTCACTTTTACGACTGACCAGGGTTTTTGCTTGCAGACTACACTCAACCCAGGTGATGTAAATGGGTACCTGGCAGGAATTCATTCCTTGAGATGCTAGAACGCCGTTATGGTAGCCGTGCTAAAGCCAGGGTAATAATCGGGAGCGCCGGGAGTGTCAAATCTGACTGACATGAGCGCTATACAAGAACCTACTATTATTATTATTATTATTATTATTATCAGATGAGGTTCAATCGGACCCAATCCTTTCCGGCCATCACCATCTGCAACACGAATCCCGTAAAGAGATCCGAACTCGAAACCAGGGATGCATCATTCCGACGAGCTTTCGACGTCCATTACGTGTCCAGCACGCCCGACCAGCAGCCCCTACCTGACGTGCCAGGTAAGATTAGGACATTCCCGACACAAGCAAGTGATTATTACTCGAGATTTATGTCTTCATCCTGTGGTTACTTGGATCTTTAAAAAAAATGATATCATTATGTACACATCATAATTATTGTTCGAGTATTTCTTTAATGTGTAAAATATCTTGTAACAAATATTGTTACTTTGAATTAGAAAAATCGAAATTGAACACATAATTTTCTGCCCGATTTATGCTTACCCACCCCCCCCCCCTTGAAAAAATCCTGCGTACGCCACTGCCCCCAACTATCCACTCTCTTCATTTAAACAAATTCACCCCTATGCATAATGCATGTCATATCTGTGAGCACTCCGCTTCTTAAATATTTCCACACCAACTTCGATAACTATTAAGAACAGGCTCATCATTTTGTAGGCTTCTCTTTACCTTTTATTTCTCATTGGTGAGATATCATATCTTTGTATGTGATCTATTTGTGCCACTATCTCTATTTATTATGACATAAATACTAAATATCATCTTGACATAACGATATTCATTCTTCGCTTTTCATTTCTTTTAATCAATTTAAATAAAATGGTTTAGGATATAGTAGGATACACAATGAAGGACAAAATTGTCATTGCGACTATCAATTTCTATCTAAAGGACTTTGATCTTCAATAAGGTATTATGTTTATAATTCGACTCTAGATGGCGTCACACCTTCTATGCTCAATAATTCAGATTCTGGCAATGAAACTCAAGGAGGGTCTACTAATGAACAAGTCGACATGTCTGAGGTATTTGTTGTTGTTGTTATTATGGTATTCAGTATAGCTGTTCATGTTCGGTCTTAATCACTTTGGTTGATTTCAACCATGGTTCACCAGCCTTATCTATGATTCCCTACATTGAAATGTGAACATGACGATGACATAGTTATCTCAACATTTTTCTTTGAGATGTAGGCTACAAAAGGGTGTACGAATTACCCTAGAGATAAATTCTAGAATACATGTTCTTTTCTATTAATTGAAGAACAAATTTAATCCATTTATAAACATTATCAGTAGTAGTGATAGTTGTGGTGGTGGTGGTGGTAGTGGTAGTAGTTATATTGGCAGTAGTTGTAGCAGCTGCAGTAGTGGTAGTATAGTAGTGGTAGTGGTAGTGGTAGTGGTAGTAGTAGTGTTAGTGGTAGTACTACTAGTAGTAGTAGTAGTAGTAGTAGTAGTAGTAGTAGTAGTAGTAGTAGTAGTAGTACCATATTTTATTGGATAGCATTGAGGCATAAGATAATGGCTGATATAAGGTACATTATTCACAGCGGAAATGGATACGCAAATAGACAAAACAATGTATACAAGCAATTAAAAACACAGCGGTTATCGGTTGAGTTTATCCATCTTTTCTTTCTTTTTTCTATTTCCAGGCTGTGAACGACTGGAGATCTCGTATCGCGATACCAAAGTTCTATCGCATGAAATCTGAGGATTACGGGAAGAAACGTATTCGAGTAGTTACTCTGGCCAATGAGACTCTAGAAGAGCGGGTTTCTCTGGGTCATAAGTTGGATGATATGCTACTTGATTGCTCCTGGAAAGGCATACCCTGCTCGCCCGAGTAAGGACATTTCCTGTCCGGGGGGGGGGGGGGGTGGTTCACTACCCTGAAGAATAAACTCTGACAGGCAAAGAAAACAGATTTTTAAATTACCTTTTGGCCTAGGGGTCTACAATCGTTTATAAGAGGCACACTAACTGTTAAGGAGCACATTCTTTTATTGTGTTTGATACCTGTTAATGTTTATTTAAGTTATACCAAATTGGGCTAAACCGAAGGGCGCGTGCGCTCTCCCCCTGCTTTTCCGATCCGCCACTCCTATCGCATGTATACATCGCTGTATATAGACTATTAAGGACCACATTTTCTACAAGTTAGCTGGAAATTTCCAACGATCAAAAAAGAGGGGATTCTTTCTCCTTAAATTTCTCAAAATTGACGATAGATGACGAGTAAAAAATCCCCCCCCCCAACAAAAAACCCGATTGAAAACAAAACAAAACAAAATTGCCAAGGCTCAACATCATGAATACTATAAAAAAAAATTGTATTCCAAGTCCATGTAGCATGTAATGATGTAACTAGCCGGAAACAATGCAGCAATTCGAGTGATCTCTTGACCCTTTCTTAAAGTTAACGTTATATCCTTTTCTACTTCACAGAAATTTTACAAAGTTTTACGACTCAATACTAGGAAACTGTTACACCTTCAATTCTGGAAAAAATGGGGAACAATTAACCACCAACCGACCAGGCTCTACTCACGGTAAGTTTAATCCTTCTATTAGCTCTTTGGACGTGTCATCGGTTTCATATGCAAACTGTCATAATTAGGTCCATTTTCGATCACAACAATCGCAATTTATCTGTAATAGTGGTGTTACGGTTCAACACTGCCATTAAGATACAGTTGCCAAGCAACTTTCACTTTAAAATGGCGATGTTGTAAGATAGCAGTGTTAGGATCGTCCTCTCAGAGGAGCCACTCTAAGAGTCATAATTATAGTTAGAAATCACACCGTAGACCGAATGATCATTGACTTCACGTTACTTCCTGGGGTAATAACACCAAAGTAAAAATAGAGTGAAAACTAAGTCTTGTTTTTGGAGAGCAAGCTAAAATTAATCGATATCCAATCCTGATTAAGTGATCACTGATGTGACTCCCGAGGTAACGCGAAATAGAGTGAAAATTTCACTCTTTATTTAGAGTGACTATAAGTAAACAAACCTAATGACTGTTTAGTTTGGTATAGGCTTCCACCGTTCTCCAAAACAGGTCTTTTTCTGGAGCTCTTTTCTCAGTTTGATGAATACGCGAAAGGGATGACTGAGGTGTCAGATTTAAGGGTGACTGTCCACTAAACTTACACCATGTTGGTAGAGTGAAAATAGAGTAAAATTTCATTCTATTTTAGAGGGAGAGAGAGAGAGAGAAAGTAAATGGGCCTGTTAACTCTTACTCCAAACCAGGTCTTACTCTGGAGCTCTTTGTGCAGCAGGATGAATACGTGGAAGGTATGACAGAAGAAGCAGGTTTTAGGGTCAGTATCCACCATCCATCTAAAATGCCATTCCCGCAATTTAATGGCCTCTTAGTGTCTCCAGGTTTCGCCACCAACATTGGACTTCGCAAGGTGAGACAAAGCGTTCTTCAAGAATAATCGCTCTCAGCATGATTTCTAAGACTTTTAAGAAATCAACTCAAATACAATTTCAATTTCCTATTACATTTCCTTATAACTCACGTTAAGATTATGTAATGCATTATTGTAATGGATGAATCTTTCAATAGTTGAAGCACTAGGTTATTGAAATTGCATGGGAATTGATTTCTTGTAAGAAGTTGTGATCGTCTGTCTCATTACTCATATTCGTTGAACCACGGGAAATCTTTACTACCTGAGTCACAAACTCACCATCAATCGAGCAATAGCAGACAAACTATGCTAAAGCCCACGAAACCGTATTATCGGTCTGAGAAACCTTCTAAAAGTTTTCTGAAAGTCCACTTGCCCGGCATTTGTCTCTCGGCCCTTTTAGGATAATGAATAATTATTTGTTTGATCTGTTGTCGGTCCGATGTTGGTCTCGTCGACATGACTGGGTTATATGTCATCGAGAAACCTAAGAAAACAAGGAAATCATTAGGAACCAAATTTTTAAAGAATCCACTAGTGCTCAGCAATCATAATTTTCCCAGAAAACTTTCCAAATGTTTTTTTTTCAGATAGTTTCAGATAATGGTTTCAGGCATGCATACTCCATCGGTTTTCATTTTAATCAAGAGGTTAAATCTTTCCCATTTAATTTTGATTATTTCAGTAACAAAAAACAAAAACAAAACACACTATATTTCATCATGTTTAGGGCACCTGAGGAGGTCCCAGGAGCCCTGAGGCTATTTTTCGCAACCCAACAGGAAATGCGTGAAAATTCGCGCATTTTACTGACTACAATATTTCAAAAATGCTATATGATGGACTGAACCCATTGATGATAGGTGTGGATAACAAATTAAACACCACGGGCACCTGAAACTTTCATCACAATTCTTAAGATCCATTTTCTTGATTAAATCGTTTAGGCCCACCGAAGGGCCCATTGGTAGGCTTGGATAATCTACTGATAACACCAATGCTCGCTGTATTAACCTCATTGCAAAGAAGAATGTATAAACTACATTTTCTTGATTAAATCGTTTAGGCCCACCGAAGGGCCCATTGGTAGGCTTGGATAATCTACTGATAACACCAATGCTCGCTGTATTAACCTCATTGCAAAGAAGAATGTATAAACTACATAATTTCGACATTTCAGATTTCAAGGAGAAATTTTAAATGCTAAAACACAGCTTAGGAATCGACAATAAATATTTGTAACTAGTATAAGGGGAAACAGCATAAAAAGGCTATCCCTCACATCTGATGAATGTCTAAATGAAAATCAAATTCTGTTATCAAGTTCCTTCATTTTTAGTAAACAATTCGTCCTTGTTTTCACGAAGTGACGGTAGTGAGGAAAATCGTAACGCAAAGTGAATGCAATTTTTTTTCACTACCGTCACTTCGTGAAAACAGCGACGAATTATTAATTCTCTATAATACATGTATCAGTAGATGTGAGATTTAATTCGGCCTAACTTTGAATCTTGAACATCGAACTTCTAATCTTGTTTCAGCTCGAAGTGGATCGATTACCAAAACCCTATGGAGATTGCGAGGCAGACCTGTCAAAGAATATTGAGGATGATATTTACCATCAACATTACAGCATTACATACAACAGGAAGGTAGATAGATATTGGATGTATGTGAAGAATTTAGTTTGACAAAAACAAGCTACATCCTTTAAACTAAGTACATCAATTAATCAAACTGGAGTTTGTTGAAGGTTCAGCTATACATGTATACTTTGTACCCAATATGAATATTTTAAAAATTTAATTATACATACTTTAGTAGCAAATATCAAAGATGAAAATTAGCAGAATGTGAACAAATTGGTAACAACAAGATATGCAGAGGAAAAATAAAATGTTTCCAACAATCAAATAGTACCCCATAAGTTAGTTTATGTCTCTCTTTAAGGTGCATTTCTTTCTTTTTCTATTTTCCTTTGACAGACGTGTGAAGTGAGTTGCTTCCAAAATGAGGTGATAAGTAGATGTGATTGCTTTGACGCAACGTACCCAAACTCTCTTAAAGTCAACCATACTGTCTACCCATGTGAATACATCAATGACGTTGGTAAGCCTTGGCGTAGAGGGCGTAGACCGACAGCTCATGAGACCCACAGTACTCGAGAGAGACACCTCAAACCACTCTCAAAACTTTAGGGAAGACAGAACATGTCGGTCTTGTTTGTTGTCGTTCTCAAGAGGCGTCGGGCAAGTGAAACCTCTGTAAAGTGTTAAGAAGACCCGAGAGATCGACATTGCAGGGTTTTTTTGGTGGGGGGGGGGGGCAGTCGGACTCAAGGGCTTTCTGTCTAAATAAACTCTCTAAAAATGGCAAAAAGTTCTTCGGGACCGACAATATACGTTTTTTTGTTTTTTTTTTTTTCAGTCTCGGAGGGCTGTCGATCTCATGGGCTAGCGGTCTATTGCACCCTCTGAACATTGATGAAAAGTGGCAAGAGGGCTCAAGAGACCGACATCGTGGCCCGAATTCACAAAGGAGGTTTGTCGACAAACCTACGTATAATGTACGTCATAATTTTCTGACACGTTATTACGCGTTTTTTTACAAACCTGGTTTGTAAAAACGCGTCAAAACGCGTCTTAATGATGACGCACGAAAACCTAGGTTTGTCGACAAACCTCCTTTGTGAATTTGGGCCCATAAGTTATGTGGGCTGTAGCCGGGTTAACGAATACTTCCGTGCAAAGTATGCATCGTGCAATGTCGACACTTCTAGGAGTATTGGTCTCGTGGATAAGTTACCAGAAACACGAGGTATGGAGTTCGAGTCCCTGTCACGGCACTAATGACATTTAGCAAGATCTGGATCTACTTTGATATGTACCACACTCCGGCCAGAAGAGCACATGGGTAGCTGGTAGGAAGACACTTCTATAATGCTTTTGCGCATTATGATAGCTGAGAGAGTAAATGTATGGTTGGAGGGACCTCGTAGAGAGCAGTATTGATACTGATGAGGCTACTTATATAGGATTTCCCGGCCAAATTCGCGAGTTTGTCATTCAAATTAATTTGTCTTGCGTTCAAAATCGACGGTTTTAGTGCAGTCAGATATATCTCGGGTTTATATTCCCTTTTCTAGTTTTAAAATCTATGGAATTTTCGTTAGAATCTACGTATGTTTCATTCAAATCAATGAACAATGTGCTTCTTTCGCTATTTGGTCATTCGATTTGGCGCAACACGATTTTCTGACAACGCGACGGTGTACTTCTAGCATTCTAATTCATTTGTAACATTCAAATTAGCACTTTGTGCAGAAATGCCATATCCTGATCTTGATTTTTCCCCTTCTTTACTTTATGTCTGACTAAACCCATCTGCATTATTGTCCTGAAAATAAATAAATAAAATAACAGCTTAGACCCCGATGGCAAATCATGCATTTTAACTGCATTATTTAAAAACTGTAAAAGTTTGTTGCAATTCTTCCCCCTAACATTCCTAACTTGAATAAAAATATTACGAATACGAATGACAGGTGATACTTTGAATGATAAAAATTACGCTTCGACAAGTGAATATTAATTTGAATGCTAGTTGAGCAGTTAATTGAATGACAGATCTATGAAACCCTTCAACCAAAATCCTAGATTTAATACAAAAACTGGAAAATTGAATGATAATTGGCAAGGCAAAGTCGATCTGCGCTAACTTAAATGCAAAGTAAATGAATTCGAATGACAAACACGCGAACTTGGCCGGTAAATCCTATAGTAAATGAGATCATATTACTATAAGATTATTTCTCGAATGCGCAGATAAATATGATGGGCGTCATACTTTTCATAAGGCCCACCAATGTTAAAATAAGAAATACAATACATCATTCCCCCCAGAGACCCAATGTATCGCCGATATCGAGATGGAACATGCCCGTGACGAGCTGGAGTGTAACTGCCCCCTCGCCTGCCGGTAAGTATTTTTAAAAATTAATTTTAGTTTTTTATGTATGCTATTTATTTATTCATTTTTTAGTGGTTGAATTTGATATATATGATGTCGAAAGAAAGGGGCGTTGAATCATAGGGATGTCGAAACATTTTTTTTTAATTAACATATTTATTGACTATTTTGGACATTATTTCTCTAAATTCCAGACTATTTTTGCAAATTTTCATTGCTCATTCCCCCATTACAGTGAAACTACATATTTGACAGGTGCCAGTTCTTCCATTTGGCCTTCAGATGCTTATGAGGTAAGTTAGATAATATCTGCTGTGTTTTGCTGTCTCGTTTTAGTATACGTTGTTGAAGAAGAATTGGGGCAATTGGTAACGTATTGAAGGAAGAAACAACCAACACTGAATTATCGTTACTCTATAAAGTCGTAAAGTTTATTTTTTAACTTCAGAAATATAACTATTATCGTATACTCTGTATCGTTCCAATTTCTTTTAAAATAAATGTGTTGCCGAATCGTATACACTCAACGAAGCAAAAACACAATCGCGCGCGCGCACACACACACACACACCACCAGTGGCGTACCTGGGGTACTCCGTCAGGGGGGGCAAGCGACCGAAACAAAACAAAAAAAAAGCGATGCTAATTTTCACTTCTGGCGAGCGAGCGAGCAAAAAAAATCTTTAAGTAACGTTTGGTATATAAACTGGTATTGTTGCAAGTTGGGGGTGGAAACATTCACTTGTTAGCATGGTGGCTCAGTCGTTAGAGCGCCCGTCATGAACGGGAGGTCGTGGGTTCGAACGAGTCATACTTATAACAATGGGACCTTCTGCCTTTTAGCTAGGCGCTCAGCATATTAGATTGGAGAAGGGTAGTAATATTATGTTATGCAGGGGCTGGAAGAACAGTTTCATAACTGAAGTGGCTCCCCTTATTATTATTATTAGCGACGTTAATTTTATTTTTTTGCAAACGAGCGTAGCGAGCAAGAAAAAAATCACTTCTTTTTTAATAATTGCCACTTAACTCTCTTTATTTCTAGGACTTATTTTAAAGTCCAAAGAATTTATTCTAAATCAAGTCCCCTTGGATTTAAAATAAGTCCTAGAAATTAAGAGAGTAAACTTGGTTCAATTGTCCCATGCAGGGCGCGGGAACAATATTGTGTTTAGGCTAATTTTATACCCATTTTAGCTAGCGAGCGAAAATACATCTTTCTCTCAATGAATTGCTATATAAACTTTGTTTCATTGTTGCAGGTCGGGGGCGGGCACAATCGTGTTTAAGGCAATGTCAATCCCATTTTGGCGGGCAGGCAACCCCCTACATTTCTCTTTTTAATGATATTGTAGCAGGTTAGTGGTGGGCACATATTTCCACGAGCTAGCGAGCGTAGCGAGCGAGCGAAAAAATCACTTCTCTTTTATAGGGAAAATATGGTACATAAAACTTGGGTTCATTGTTCCATGCCAGGGACGTGATTATTAAAAGCGGTGTTATTTCTATTTTGGCGAGCGAGCGTAGCGAGCGAGCGAAAAAAAAAATCACTTCTCTTTTATAGGGAAAATATAGTACATAAACTTGGGTTCATTGTTCCATGTCAGGGACGTGATTATTAAAAGCGGTGTTATTTCTATTTTGGCGAGCGAGCGTAGCGAGCGAGCAAAATTTTTGTAATGATAGTTGGTTCATAAATTTCAGATTTTTTTGTTGCAGGGCAGGGCTTACACAATCATGTCTAAGGTGATGTTAATTCCGTTTTGGCGAGCACGAGCACACCAAAACTTCTTTGAATAACGTTTGGTACATAATTATTAACTGGTTGTTGCAGGTTGGGGCGGGCACGTTAGCGGTGTCAATTCCATTTTGGCGAGCGAGCATAGCGAGCAAGCAAAAAAAAATTCTCTTTTAATAGAAATTAATAAATAAACTTGTTTTTATTGGTGCAGGTCAGGATGGACGCAATCGCGTTTAACGCGATTCAATTCCTTTTTGGCGAGAGGGCGAAAAAACTCTTCCATTTTTGATTATATTGTTGCAGGTCAAGGGTGGGCACAATTGTTTCAAAAGCAATGTCTATTCATTTTATTCGCGAGCGAGTGTAGCGAGCGAGAAAAATGAATTAGTCTCTTTTAGTAACATTTGGTACATACATTGTGTGTTATTGTTGCCATGGTTGCAGGTCGGGGCCCGTCGGGGCAGGCACAATGTATTCTAGGCAATGCTAATCCTTTTCTTTTTTCAGGGGGAAGAGCAAGTGAAAACATTTAATACAAAATAGGCTAGCAAGCAGTTCGCGCCAGCGAAGAGTTTTGAATTTGTTATATCACTTTTATTTTCCTATTTTCATTTGTCTTAATTTTTCAGGGCCGTATGCGGAATATTTTTCTGGTGGGGGAGGGGGAAAGATGCGTTAAAAGTTTTCGAAGAATCTCAAAAGCAAAAGGAGTGAAGGGAGTTCGAGCGACCGAACTAGTCATGAGGGTACTTTTGCATTTTCAAAAGTAGAATTGAAGGATTTGGTATAGGCCTACACTACATTTTCAGGAAAAAAACTGTACGTTTTCAAAATATCTGGGTTCAACTGCCCCCCCCCCCCTGGTGCGTACGGCCATGGTCTTTTTTTTTAAATTTCCCCATTTGTTTTCCTTTCCTTTTCTTTTCCCTTTTTCTTCCTTTTCTCTTCTTCCTTTTTTCTTTCCTTTTCCTTTTTTCTTTTTCTTTCCTTTCCTTTCTTTTCTTTTCTTTCCCTTTTTTCTTTTTTTCCCCTGGAGCCCGTCAGGGGGGGCACTCTGCCCCCCTGCCCCCCCCCATAGGTACGCCAGTGCACACCACACACACACACACACAAACACATAGTTTCACCCAGGAAAGACATATTTTTAGACAATTACTTGTTTTATAGACGGTTATACGAATGGATTTCCTCCTCACATATCAAGCTTGACCTATCTTATTTTTTGCACCATCATATGTTGTATGACTGCTAGGACTCTGACGAAAAAGGGGAAATGAGGCATTTAATACTGATCCTAACTTTGTTATCACATGATTTATATTGATCCATAGTCTACGCTAATTGAAAAGATGTTGAAGTATAATGCAGAAATTCGGGGGCATGTCGTAGGTGAAAACGCTTCGGACTGGACCAGGTGAGTTGAAAGCTCAAATATTTTAAACAAAAGTAGACCGACTAAATGTGCAAGTGAACAAACTTTCGATAGTGGATGTGTCGTGGTATAATGGTTGATTCACTCGACTCTCAATCCAAGCCCTAGGGGTTGCGGGTTTCAATCCCAGTCCAATTCTAATGTCCTTTAGCAAGAGATTAATTTCTCCCAGATGTGATTGGGTCTGGCAATTGCATGGGTAATGATTATTGCAGGGCCTTCATGGAGAACACTTTTTATGCTGGAAGGCTTCCATGGATAAACAAAAGCATTATTGTTATTATCACTATTATTTTTATATTATTATCATTGTAGGAGAAGTATTTAGCAGTAGAAGTGGTGGTAGTAGGGAAATATTTCTTTTGCAATATTCTAAGAAATGTTTCCAAAAAAAATTAAAACAACAATACAACCAACACGTGACGGATGATATGTCGTTGCTATAGCAATAGATATTACATGACATTGCACTACTATAAAAATCACCTTTCAGGTAGGTTTTTGTGTTAACCGAAAACACAGTGTTAATGAACATCGTGTGCATGTACTTTTCGTTCATTGTTTTGTTGTTTATAGGAGGAATATGGCTAAAGTGGAGATATTCTACGATGAGTTTAACTATGAATACATCCGACAAGAACCAGCATACACGGTAATTTTTTCTCTCTCTCCCTTTGTCGGATATCTACGAATGGGGGGGGGATGAAATACTTACATCCCTTTTTCATTCATACAAATTCATACGCATACATCTATGAAACTGTTCACAACTTTAAATAAAACAATACGTCAACGCGCTTTCAAAATTGATATACTTCAGCCATTTGAAAAAACACCATTTAGTATTTGGATGTAAGAGTAAGACCGTGCTAATTTCATGAACACGATTTAACACTCGATCAGCATAGCTGGATTTAGGGGTGGCTGCAAATTATAAATTGAGACTTCAGGGTAAACATTTCTAAATACCGAAATTATCATATTTCGTATTAAATTTTGAAGTGTCACAATTTTTCCATTTGTGGTTTGATTTCAGATTCCCGATCTTCTGAGCGATATTGGCGGGCAGCTTGGTTTGTGGCTCGGCCTCTCAATCATCACTATCTTCGAGTTTTTTGAAGGCGCTTGGCTCGTTCTCGCTTTTTTCTGTTCTCGGTCTGGGAACAAGACCAACCGAAGCGAAATCGACCCTGGGACCAAGACCACTTGATAGTTCCCCGCACCTTATCGAGCTGTGATTGATAGTAGTTATCGACGTGATCGATCAACTTATGACGAAGGAGTATCCACGATCCTGATTGGATAATAAGAATTAAATGATATCCATACAAGTCACATTTGTGTAGCACTTATAATTATATTCAAATGGTGTATATATTTACAAAAAAAAAACTGATTTTTGTTATATATAATTTTTTCTGTTCGTATTCTTTTTCTAAATTAGGGCTTGTTCGGATTTCACGCCTTCTAACCTATTTGTATATATATGTGTATGTTTTATTTAACTTTGTATGTAAATCATGATAATCTATAATGTATGTTTCTTTGTAAAATTGTGATTGCGCTTTGAGAGGGCCTTCGGTCCTGAAAAGCGCTATATAAGAACTAGCTATTATTGTTATTATTATTTTATATGTACGGCCATGCTGAAGAACAGCCATTGGCTAAAGCATGTCACCGTGCTAAAGTAAAATAAACAAACAAACTTCGTTTCTAGGCGCTTTATCCTAGGACAACTACCCCTGAGGACGACTACCCCTCCTCACTCCAACCTGCGCACTGGGACCCAGGCGCGGATCCAGGATTTCTTAGGGTGGGGTCCCAATTTTTTTTCTCTTTGCTCCCGAAAATTTGTAAATCGCCCTAGCCGAAAATGCGCTCAGTGGAGGAGTGAGCACATTTTTTGGGGGGGCCCTCGCAATTTTGAAAATTTTCACCCCCCCCCCTGAGCGCCAGGAGGGGCCCATCTCCCGGGGGGGGGGGGGAGGGTGTCTGGATCCGCCACTGGCGGGACCACTACTATTTAAATTTCACCAGGGAAGGGGGGGCTGTGTTGATATCGCTTACCCGAATGGCAAACTTCAATCTTTTTTTAAAAATATTTTGAGCGAGCAAAAAAAATTGAAACTGTGTAATTGTGCCAGTAAAAATAAGATAGATAAATGTGGAGAAATGAATACTCGATTCCCGAATATTAGATCGCGGTTACACGCATCTCGGGGGCTGCAGCCCCAGACGCCCCGGCCTCACATTGCCTGCCTTGCTCATTCATGAGTGCGAATCGGTCATTGTTCCCTCGTGCATGTGTGGGTTATGTTGTTGTTGTTGGTAATAGTTTAATGGCGTTCATTCAGTATTGAATATATACGCCATATCTTCTTTATTATTCTATTTTATAAGAAAATCAGTTAAACATAAGAAAACTGAGAATAAAGATTTGTAATGATATAATATATTAATTAATCAGTAACGCTGTTTATTAGGAGTCGCTGGATGGTTTGCAACTTCGTGTTTCTGCTTTTTAAAAAGTTTAATCTGGTCAGCCTTGTTATGGACGCTTTGTGGGTTATGGACGCTCTGTCCGGCGGTTGAACAATTAAATAGTTATTACGTATTGAATGATGGAAATCTGTGCCTGATTGAGCCTAGTTATTGTTAGCCAATATGAGCGTTGTATTTGCATATAAGTCTCTCTCTCTCTCTCTCTCTCTCTCCCTCTCTGTCTCTCCCTCTCTCTGTGTCTCTCTCTGTCTCTGTCTGTCTCTCTCTCTCACCCTCCTTATGTCGGTCTGTCTCTCCCTCCCTCTTCTTCTCTCTTCCTTTCTCACCAATATAATTAGCGACGGGACAGCACCATGGGGGGGGGGGGGGGGGGGGGCGGGGCGGGCGGGGCGGGGGATCCCCTCTATTATAAATTAAAATTACTGGACTCGTATTTGGTATTTCTATAATAATAAAAAAAATGGTTAGCAATGAAGGAAATGTAAAATATACAACTTGCTTTATTTATTCTGAAACGTGCATACACTGTTGCAAGATAAATGAAAATAACAAAACAAAGACAATTTTCTATGTCTCTATGCAAGAGGAAATTTCTCTTGAAACACGCCATGCATGATACTCCGTTGTATATTAAAAACCTAATCAATATGTATATCAGTATAAACATGATCTATATAATAATATATTTATGTATAATTCAAGGTATTGTTTAAAGTGTTTTTGTTTTGTTTTATGAAAGACTACATGGCAGTGAAACGTTATATCTTAGCTCTATAAGGCTCGTATTCTACTAAATTTTAAACCCGACGCTTAGGATTTTGTTCAAAATCTGATTTATAAAAGGAAAATGGTATTAGGTCTAATTTTTCCTATTGTCAAGTTGAATGTGAGTTTCGATCCCGGGTTGGGTTTAACTGAATTAGACTGTCCAGATTCTGTCAAGTTTTATATACTTTTAATTATTCAGTCGCACAGCACGGCGCGCCACTCATCGCTCGATCCCCAAACAAACGTCGTTTAGTTATCGGGGTACAGAATGAAAAGAATGGCAAGGTCTATTGTCAACGTTGAGGGGGTGTTATTTTATCAGCTGATTGGGCGCGCGATACGGAAACGGTGCAGATCTGGACTACTGAATTAGTAACATTAGGACCTTTTCTATTCCCTTAAAAATAATGAACGAAGTACTGTAGATATACAATAGCTTATCGCAAAGTATATTACATATTTACATTCAAATTCAAGTAAAACCTTAGTCTACTTTGATAAAAATTAATGTACATCAATCATCGTTCATATCATTTACAATTTTGTGAAAAAATGTTGTCAGGTTAAAACATGTAAAAGTAAATTTATATTTTAGTTCCATTCTTCATCAGAAGTGTGCTACTTCTTTTTCTGTTCTTTCGTTTTTCTTTTTGATTTTTCTCAGTCTCTGTATTTCTGTTTTCAATTCCCTTCTCCCAATTAATCTGTTTTATAATGAAACTGAATCGTATAAATGGTTAAGGTTCTTGTTATTGGAATTTGTCAACAATAATGACTATTATCAAACTCCATACATGGAAGAACAAAGCCTTTAAGTTAATTTTTCCTTGATTTTTCTCTTACGTAATAAAAAATCTTACGGAGTTTTAACAAAGTCACAGGTTTATTAAAGGAGGCATTTTAAAGGGATTGTCTAACTTTATCTCGGATTCTAAACAAAATCCTGGATTTAGCTCATGCTGCAATGATAATTGCAAATACTTAGGTCAGAGAAATTCCATGACTTTTACAAGCCGATCGCCCGTCTGATTATCAAGATATTTATGATTGGAATTCGAAATTTCAAAAAAAATTCAAAAATGAGTATGGAAAAACCGGTTACTCAAATATTTTTACTTTTGTGATGCACTTCATGATCATTTTGAAGCGCAATTTGTTTAGGGCTTCATTATTACACCATATCACAGACACTGATAACACGTAGGGCCATGCGTTTCACTGAAACTGGAGTCATTGTTAAACAATGCCTTTAAACATTACAGATAGTACTACCAATGAGTGGAAAATGCTGCAAAATATATCAGAGACTAGACTGACTTCTTTCTTTTCGGGCTTATGAAATTCCCGACATTCCCTGATATTTTTGCTGATTTGAGTAATTTTTGAAGTTTTCTGACTTTTCCTTTACTGGAGGAGGACAGCATTTCCAGGTTTACCAGTACTGTCAAGGATAGATGTAATCCTGCCATTCAAAGCTTATTAACAGAATGTAAAACAATCAACATATTATGATAAACGTTGAGAATGCTAAAATGATGAACGGTTGATGATAAAGTGCTACACGTATACGACAAAAGTAAAACAATTTTGTTGGTCATAACTGAATAAATTTATACAATATGATATGACACTTCTCAAAAACAACTTTGCCGATAATGACCTGCTTGAGAGGACTCATTATAGTACAAAACATTATACATACGTCACTAATTACGCAACAAGAATTTCTTCTTCATATTGTTATACATCGCATTTTTTTTCTTTTTTAATGTCAAATCGTTGAGCATATAACTCTAGTGCGCAGTTGCGACTTTATTATTTACTTTCTGCTCTGAAGTTTTCTTTCTTCTCCATAACACCAGCATGATTTTTCTCAACTTTTTTCCCCCTTTCTCTCCCTCTCATATACTTTATCAGTATTTTCATCCAATTTTTTGTTTGGCTCAACATGGGGGGTGGGGGGGGGGGGGTGAGTGAACACTCCTTTTCTTTTCTTCTCAACACCCCCCCCCCCCCTTGAGCAACAAGAAAAAATGCATGAAAATGCTGATATAGTATTTTTTGTTAGGGGGGGGGGGGCAGATCCGCGCCTGGGCTTAGCATAGCTCATCAGCTATTTCGGGGCTATTTTCCCCTTTGGAAAGTTTGTACAGGATGATAAAATCCCTTATAAATTTCAAAAATGATCATTACAGTGATACTTTTAAAGCCTGGATGTCAATCAATGGGCAAACTGTTAACAAATATTGCAAAAAATCAACAACAACAACAAAAGTCTTTTTTTTTTTTTTAGGGGGGGGGGGCGATTTACCGACAATAAGTTTTGGATGGTGTGTTCATCCCAACTTCCCTATGACAACACCCCCTGCCTAGAAGCTAGTCAGAGATTAGGGCAGGGCTTTCACCAAACCGTCATAAGTACAATTCGCCGACAACCCATCGAATCGCATATATTGAATTTAAACACGTTTTTCGAGGCGATGTCAATGAACTAATTACTGTATCTGTACTTGAAGGTTTGGTGAAATAATGCGTACATATCGAGTTGTTAATTCACTAAAACTGCTTAGACTGTTTTTCATGGATTGATATTTACATATTTATATTGCGTTCACGATTCTGTTTTCTTTCGTCGACAGGTAGATCAAATCAGGTTTTAAAATCAACGGGAACAACTCTGTCATGGCTGTACGCCTTCCGAAAGAGGTACTTCACGATGTCCAGGACCAGGACTCCGACTTCGCAAATGGTGATCACAGAGAAACCGATGTAGAGTCCAAGAAGACCTCCGATCCCACCAAGCAAACTCTCAAACTAAGGATAAAGAAAACAAAAAAATTACTTACAGATACCTGAAAAAATGCAAGAAATGCTTTTTTTTTTAGTGTTTATTCCTGATTATTACTTCTTTTTTATATTCTTCTTCTCCTTCTTCTTTCCTGATTTATTTCTTTCCCTTTCTTTCTCTTTTCTCATGATCTTCTCCTCATTTCTCCTCATTGATTTTCATTAATCTTCTTCTTTTCTTCTCTCTAAATTGTTCGTCTCCTCTCTCTTTTCCCCTTATTTATTTCATGCTCATTCTATTCCTCCCCTTCTCCTCATTATCCTTCTTTTCTTGTCATCCTTCTTTTCTTATCTTATCTTTTCTTTTCCCCTTCTTCCATTCTCTTTTTTGTCTCCTTATCCTCCTTTCCTTCACTATCATCACCATGATCATCGTCATCTTCTTCTTCTCATTCTTCTTCTTTTCCTTCTTCTTCCTCAATTTCTTCTTCTTCATCTTCTTCGACTTCTCCTCCTCCTCCTCCTCTTTCTTCTTCTTCTTCTTCTTCTTCTTCTTCTTCTTCTTCTTCTTCTCCTCCTCGTCCTACTGATGTGTCTTAAATCTTCCTTTTCTTCTCCTCTTCCTCCTTTTTCTTTTTTTCTTTTTCTTCTCCTATTCTTTGTCTTCCTCCTCCTCCCCTCCTTCTCTTTCTTTTTCTTCTTCTTATTTTTCTTCTTCTTTTTTTCTTCTCCTTCTTTTTTTTCTTCTTCTTCTTTTTTACCTTCTTCCCCTTCTTCCTCTTTTTCATCTTCTTCTTCTCTACCCCTTACACTTTCATAGGTATACATTCAAACCAGCTTTCTCGTTAAGCCTACCGTGTATTGGGGCTTCTGAATCATCTGCTCATAGTTGAGTTCTTCAAAGTAGATCCGCACTCGAGCCAGATTTTTTCTTTTGAACCAAAAAATAAGATCAAAGGACAGAAATTAACATCTTGGTGTTACATGTTTATTTTGATCAGGGGGGGTGTTGATCCATGTTCAGGGGCATTGATTGTAATTCATCGTTCCATAGGATACAACGTTAATTCAAAATTTATTTAGGAAAATCCCAACTGCCCCTTTCCTACCCCCCCCCCCCCCCCCCCACCCTCCCTCATCGGATCGACACGCCTGGGCATACTAGGCATTATTTGCCATTGATTTTATAAAAAGGATGTACTTAGTTTTAAGTCAATGTTGCTGGTTACAATACAGTGTAGAAAGTTGGTTAGTATTATTCATTTTTTAAATTTTAATACCACCATGAATAATTCTAAACCAAACTCTAATACATGTCATCTATGCATTGTAGAATCAGCGACTGTCTTTTAGTGAGATCGGTGAACTAAAATATCCGAGACGTTCTCTGAATAAATTATCCTTGAATGTATTTGAAATAAAATGACAGAATTCTGTTGTCTGGAAAGTTGTTTACACTCGACTCAATGTTCTAAATTGAAATTAAATATCAACAGATTTTAACATAAGTTTGTTAGCCCAATCCCTATATTTATAGAACATTGGGTATTTTTTCATTAGACATTCTACATTTCACTTCCAGTGAACTCATCCCATATAAAACTTCTCAGATATAATTGAAATTCTATCCCTCTAAATGACAAATTTAGCCAGACCTATCTACTGTAGTTTTAATGCGTAGACAAGTGTACACAAGCTGTTTTCGCCTCTGACATATTCTGTTATACATCTTAGTTCAAAATCCAACGATAAGTGCAGATTTTGGCAATATGTCTAGAATATGGTTTGTAAACCCGTTGACTACTGAATTATGTAATTCCCATAGACTTAACACAGAGACTACCATGTTCCAGTAAGCAATGGGTTAAAAACATCTTTATTCTTCTAAAAGACGATTTGCTTACCTTGTTTGCTCGATATTCTGCAGGATACGTGTGGCTTTCTCATTGGTCAATCGAGACTTCAGATGAGTCTGGAAGGTGATCACGTGATCAAGAGAATTTAGATCACTAATTTAATAAGTTGGTCTTACATTTTAAATGGATTGAATGTATAGCTGCATTAAAGGTAAAAACAGAGTTTTGGTATAGGGTCATGAATATGGTTCAAATTAACATATTGGTAGCATTTGCGATATTAAAATATTCAATGATCGTTGTCGCGGTTGAAATCGAGTCTAAAGGGATGAAATTGTAAATAATAAACACTTAATGTTGTATAGCTCTCTTTCAAGACTGATATTACTTTATCTTTAAAACAATATTTCTTGACTACACTCGACCGATTTGCTATTCCCTTTGGAAATTATATATCAGAACTGCATATTCTGGAATTTTCATGGTCACAGCTACCATGGAATGACCTTAGGCGCTATTTGAAATATTTGAAATTTACCGGGAGCACCGGTAAATTTTTAATTATTCAATTTCTCTAAAGCAGGTGTATTTTCTGGTGGTTATAATACATCCACATGGGCATCTAAATATATCAAAATGTTAAAGAATTACTATCCATCCAATTTTCAAAATTTCCCAAATTTTTGCATTACCTTTTAGAGAGAGAGAGAGAGAGATTTAGGAACAAATTCGAAAAAGCGCATTCGTAATTATACAGTATAGTACACGTTATCAAAGTTGTGTGTTAAGGTACAGTATGAGAGATAGACATACAGTGTAATTACTGTATGCAAGCTAGGGAGAGAGAACAAAATGAAGAGATATAGATAGATGGGGGGGAGAGAGAGAGAGAGAGAGAGAGAGAGATGGGGATTGAGAGAGAGAGGGGGGGGGGCAAAAGAGAGATATCGAAGATAAAGAGAGTGATATAAGAAAAACCATTACTGCACTCAATTTATTGTCAAACAGAGGCATAACAATATCGACAGAATTAGACCTGAGAATCCTGGATTCGATTAGATATGAATAGACATTGATGTGCAAACAACCCCTGATAAATTTTGCATACTAATGCAAAGTGCTTTCCTCCACTTAATTGAACTCATCATGACTTTGCAACCTATAGCTACTCAATTATGAAATCATACCTCGTATCGCTCTGATGGCCACAGGTCTGACGTCACCGCGGTCACAAAATGAGTTTCCCTTCGAATTGAAAAAAAAATATGGGAAAATGGAATTATTATTATTGGTGGATTAAGGGAAGCCCGTTCCACCCCCCCCCGAAACAAAAGTAACATAGCTTTGCTTCACAACCCCACGAATGAGCCCCTTTTGTAGTAAAAACCTTTTTTACTGCTCGCTAGAGAATTCAGGCAAATTTTGTTCCTCCCTTTGATAAAAGCCTGGATCTGCCCCTAATTATCTAATGAACTATTGTTTATTGAATCATTACTATGATCCATACCTAACCTTCCTGACAAGATTGCCAGCCTTCTCTCCTTCTGACCTATTTCATTTTTGTTTTAATTTATGCTTTTATGATGCCCGTAAATATCCAATATCATTACCATAATTAATAAACTTCATTAAATTCTTTGTGTGTGTTTGTTGGGTCTGGTTCAAGCATTATTTTTCAGTTCCGTTCTCCACCGTGTCCCGTCACTTATATTTACAAGCCTTCAACAATAGAGAGCAGAAACAAATTAATATATAATTATGTTGATCGAAGTAAGTATTATGGGAGCACGCATGCATGACCACGCTATAGTGAGGTTATTAAAATGTAAAAACAAACTAATGACTCTAATGGATTACCACGGGTAGTATATCTCAATCTACTGATTGGTGAACAATTAGAGCGAGAATTATATATCCCTAGCACATCGACATGAGTGCTACCAGCTAGATCGACATTAAAGATACTATGTCCCTTTTTCAGCCAATCTCAAATTCTGTAGAACTTTGCAGGAATTATGAATATGTCATGTATATCCTATCTGTGAAATTTAAACGTTAGCAGTGTCCTTATATTCAAATTATGCAAGAAAACCCGTTTACTTGCTAGACTTCATTGTCAGACACTATTGTCAGTATTAAGTGACTGACTGGCTTTTTCTTCTTCTTCTTTGGTAATAACATACATAAAATGAGCTGTAAAGGATTTGTCTACTACAATAACTCACTTCTTGTAATGGCCAAAATTAAACTGATTGAATCTTTGCGTAGTATAAAACGTACGACCATGCGGTACAATGGTCTGAAAATCAAGACGATTACTTATTGGCTCTATAGCTCCTAAGTCGATTTGACAACTAATAGTCGTTATTTTTCCACTTAGACATTTTCAAGCCCCATTCTATTAAGGGGAGTGCTAAATTAGTATTATCTTTCAAATGCCATTGGACTTTAACCTTTTCATTTTTTGGCCTGCAAAAGGGACATAGTACCTTTAAATGGAACCTATTTGCATTTAATCCGAACAGTCAAGAACCGGTCTGTTAGAAGTCGTTTGGAATCGGTTTGTATGCGACTGAGTAATTAGTAGACCATCCAGGTAATAATCAGATGGAAAAATGATTGGAAGAGGGAGCGGGTCATTTTAGAGGGTCATTTTAGGTCAGTTGTAGGAAGTAACTGTATCTTAAATATCATCAAAATGATAGATTTTATGCGATTAAAGGTACCTCTCATCATCATGAAAGCCAAAAGCTGATTCTGAATTTGTTATAAAGGTGTTTTTCTTCGATTCATAAGTAGGCCTCAGAATATTTTTAATATTTATTATAAACGTGTTGAATACATCAGCCTAAAGGTTTAAGGAAAACAACACTATGGTCCAAATGCTCTTCCCTACTGAGGGGCAGATCCGGGATTTTGTGAAAAGGGGTAGGGAACTGGCATTAATCCTCATTACCAGGTCCCTTGGAGAGGACCTAAAGCCGCCGGCCGTCTGGTTGCTTACTTACAAGCATTTATGCTTTCTTAGCAGTCAGGTAAAATAACCACCATCACCAACTTCAAAATTTAGAAAAATATATTGTCAAGCAAAAACAGGGGGATCCGGAGGGGGGTCCGGACCCCAAACTCCCATCTGGACTCGCTTATGAATGTGAGATAATTATGAGCGTAGTAAAAATGCTATCTGACACTTTCAACGCAGCACTTTCTTATTGTCCCCAATTATACAATGATAAATAATATTGTGATATATATTTGTTCAAACCACCACTATTTCAATTATCAGTGAATTACGCAATCATGTAATTTCCTACCCTATTTGTTCATTTGGCCATTAAGGTAATCAATATCTAAAATCAATGTCCAGATAGTCCATACTGAACATTTATGCATATTTACACTTGGTGAGCTTGCGATGTTACGTCACACTAAAAGGTCTGGTATATAATTGGGGTTCAATTAACCAGGAGCCGGAGACAGATAATTGTGGTATACATGAAAATATTGTTTTTAGAAGCATGAAAATATTACATTATGGGGCGACATGCAACACCACGATAGTTTTCGAAATTTTGATGAAATGGCCTACATGCTAGATAAATCTAGCAGTTTAATTTTAGAGTTCCTTTCCTTGAAAATGCTATGATTACTAACCAAAATGTCAAAGCAGAGCGCCTTGGTCAAGCAGTTAAAAACTGAAGGAGAGACACTTCAAAATAAAATTGAATTGAATGAATAATTAATGATTTAGAAAGCTCTACTTACTTGCATGCAATGGGGCAAAAACATTCAAGTTGACCTTCATGAAAGAACTGTTCAATAGCCTGACGACACATCTCTGAAAAACAAATAGAGAGAGAGAAACAGAAAATGAAGGAGTAGGGAATCATTACTATGCGAAATAGGCCTACCATCTTTTTCAGTATCATCTAGTTAATCTTGTAAAAGATAGACTGAATGAAAGCTCGAGTAAATGAAGGAATAGCCAAACAACTACGACTAATTTATATCCCTCCCATTTATCAACATAATTATCGGAATTATAACAATACCCACGTCATTATACCTTGTTCGATTATTCTAATGAATATAATAGCGTAAACATTTTGTTGTTTGTGTGTGGCTAAAATGAGGTGTTCGTTTACATTCAAACATGAAAATAAAGTTGCGAGAAAATATAATTGATGTACAGTGTTATCAATACAAATCACATATTTTCTCGACTGTACAATATTTTGCTACCTATTAAAAGTGATCTTAACAGATTCTCTGGCATACTTTTGTCTTGCCTTTTTAGCTCCTGATTTACAATAAGTCTGTTACGTATCTTAGTTTGAAATGGTTTTCATTAAAAACCATACTTATTCCGGAAGACTTTTGATTATACGCCATAATTTTACACAAGTTTTGTATATACACCAGAATACGATCGTTTTTACAACGTCTATCTCTCTGTCAATATAAATATTAAGTAAACAAGAGATATTCATGCAAAACTAAATATTACAAAAGTATACTTCACAACATGTTTGATATCATCACATAATTTTTTGTTTTGTTCACATTCAATAAACACAATCATGCACTATGTCCTCTCTGACGTGGCACTGTGGCAGTATCCAGGTGTCGTCTGCTAATTCCTATTTGTAAAAATTGTTTTTAGCAGGTATAGTATATTGTACAACAATTTAAAATTAAAGTCTCTTAAGCGAAGTTCTGTTGTATACGTGAAATTCCTTTTGAACACGGAGGACCAGTAAATGTTTCTTTGTAGTGTATTTCCCCAAAAAAGACAGCACCTGTAGGTGAATGTCCGTTTAAAATATATTAGATTATAGAAACATTTGCTGATTATACGTCTCTGATATAAAGTAAATGTAACAATTGCGTATAATAATTATATCATGGGTGCCATTAGAAAGTGACACTCGAAATAACTTTGAGGAGTATCAGATAGAATTTTACCTTTTACACTTTATGCCGTTTGAAATTTCATAATATGTATACGTTTATTTCTTTTTTACAATGGAAACAGAACCACATAGATGCAAATAATACGTACGTTCAGTTCTGTTTCGCGGGCTGCAGATCGTATCGTTCATCATGATGTCCGTAACGCAGCCGCACTTGTTAAAAATATGTTGCTGAACGCACGACTTAACGCACGCACGGGTTGTATAAGTATATTCTTCCGATGTGAAGTTAGTCTGAGTTCCATCTGAACAGTTTCCATGGGGTTTGGTTAGCCGCTCAAAGTAAGACTGAAAAAGTGAAATATAACAGATCGGATTTTATTTTTGATTGGCACGTTTGAGACATCCCAGGAGACCCAGCAGTCTACGTGGCCCAAAACCTACAAGACCAAAAGCTCACGGAACAAACAGAGAATGGGACAAACAGTCACTTGGCCAACACCCCCACAGGACCGGGAGGCGACCGAAAGCTCATGACACAAACAGACCATGAGACCTACAACCCACAAGACTCAACAGCTCCTAAGTGGCCAAAAGCCTACAAGACCAAAAGCTCATGAAACAAACAGAAAATGAGACAAACAGTCACGTGGCCAAGACCCCCACAAGACCAGCAGATCGAAAGCTCATGACACAAACACCATGAGACCAACAACCCACAAGATCCAACGGCTCCTACGTGGCCTAAGGCCTACAATACCAAAAGCTCGTGACACAAACAGACCATGAAACCAGCAACCCACAAGACTCAACAGCTCCTACGTTGCCAACAGGGGCGTACGCAGGATTTTTTCAAGGGGGGGGTTTTAAAATATTTTGCTCCCGAAAATTTGAAAATCGCGCCGGCCGAAAAGTCGCTCAGTGGGGGGGGGGGGGGGGGTAAGCGGACACTTTTTTTTTTGGAGGTCAAAAAAAAATCGCAACGACTCAGCCGAAAAGTCGCTCAGTGGGGGGGGGGGGGGGGGGGGAGGGGGGGGGGGGGGGTAAGCGGACACATTTTTTTTTTTTTTTTGGTCTCGAAATTTCATAATTGGGGGGGGGGGGGGGGGGGGGGGGGGGTAAGCGGACACTTTTTTTTTTTGGAGGTCAAAAAAAAATCGCAACGACTCAGCCGAAAAGTCGCTCAGTGGGGGGGGGGGGGGGGGGGGGGGGGGGGGGGGGGGGGGGTAAGCGGACACATTTTTTTTTTTTTTTGGTCTCGAAATTTCATAATTTGACATTTTTTGTCGTTGGGGGGGGGGGGGTAAGGTCACCTTATTTAGGTTAGCCGTGGGTATAATTTTTTTTTTTTTTTTTTTTTTTAATAAAAAAAAAAAAAAAAAAAAAAAAAAAAACCAAAGGGGGGGGGGGGGGGGGGGGTTTTTAGGTTTTTTTAGGGGGGGTTTACATACAAAAAATACCAAAGGGGGGGTTTGAACCCCCAAAACCCCCCCCCCCCTGCGTACGCCCTGGTTGCCAACACCCCCACAAGACAAAAGCTCATGACACCAACAGAGAATGAGACCAACACCCCCACAAGACCAGGAGACCGAAACTTCTCACGACACAAACAGACCATGAAACCGACAAAGAGACCAACAGCCAACGAGACCGAGAGCCCACGATCGCTAACATTATCGTGAACTCACGAGATCGACAGACCAAGAGGCAATGAGACTAACATCCCACGAGTCCGACAACCCCAAAGCTAGACCAAGCGCCCAGAGACTGGCAGATCAAGAGACAAAAAGCCAACGAGACTAACAGCTCAAGTGACCAACAGCCTTCGATACTTTCATATCAACATGTACATGAGAAAAGATTAAACAAGAAGAGGATAGATGAGGGAGGGGGGGTTACTACATAAAAATACCAAAGGGGGGGTTGAACCCCCAAACCCCCCCCCCCCCCTGCGTACGCCCTGGTTGCCAACACCCCCACAAGACCAAAAGCTCATGACACCAACAGAGAATGAGACCAACACCCCCACAAGACCAGGAGACCGAAACTTCTCACGACACAAACAGACCATGAAACCGACAAAGAGACCAACAGCCAACGAGACCGAGACCACGATCGCTAACATTATCGTGAACTCACGAGATCGACAGACCAAGAGGCAAATGAGACTAACATCCCACGAGTCCGACAACCCCAAAGCTAGACCAAGCGCCCAGAGACTGGCAGATCAAGAGACAAAAAGCCAACGAGACTAACAGCTCAAGTGACCAACAGCCTTCGATACTTTCATATCAACATGTACATGAGAAAAGATTAAACAAGAAGAGGATAGATGAGGGAATAAAGAAATAAAAAAGGACGATCAGAGAAATACAAACGAAGAGAAAAAAGATGAGAGTGTAGAATAAGAATAGCAAAGCTATCTTTAGAAAATGATATAAAGAGAAGATGACATAAAGGGTAAAACATACAAAATAATTAAAAAAACACGAACAAAATACGTTGTTTTCTTCTTCTTCTTGTGTGTGAAGGAGAATGGGGTACCCGAACCGGAAAAATTGAATAGGTAGCATACTTGTCGTCGATTTGTTCGATTTACCGACAGAAGGTGACATTGAAACAACTCTAAAAAATATTTGAGCAATTCCTCCCTTAGCAATGGCTGAAACCACACAAGCTGCGAGCGATTTTAACGAAGACATGAACATCATTGAATTGAATTGAAAATGTCGGTTTTGTCTAAATTTTATTACATGGTTTGTTTGTTTGCTTTATTAATTTAACCACGGTTTAAACACCTACTATCAGCCATAAGGCTTTTTTCCAGCAAGTACGTTAAAAATATTCACAAAATATGCATAAAACAAAACAAAAATAATGCATAATGCAAATCAAATAAAAAGAATAAAAATGTGTAAACATCTCTGAATAACAATTACAGTTTAAGTATTTTAAACATTCGAAATAATTAAGTCGAATTACAAGCACATTAACATAAAACGATTCATCAGAGGTAGATTGAAGGAAAGAGTAAAATAGCGAGTGAGAGAGAGAGAGAGAGAGAGAGAGGTAGATGAGAAGATAAAAGAGAGAGAGAGAGAGAGGGAGGGAGAGAGAGAGAGAGAGAGAAAGAGAGAGAGACAATTAGGACGTAAAGGGGGGCGGGGAAATACCATCGATCGCCTTTATTGGCCCGAATTCACAAAGCAAGGTTTGAGCTCAGACCAAGGTTTGAGCTCAAACCTCCTTTTGTTTCGCCAAACCTCCTTTTGTTCTTTACAAACCAGGTTTGTAAAAAACGCGTAAAACGCGTCATATGACGTACGAAAACCAAGGTTTGACGACAAACCTCCTTTGTGAATTCGGGCCATAAAGTTTGAAAGCCGAGTTTGTTTTCTGGTGAAATAGCCGAAATGCGATATAAAGAGTACTGCTTTTATGGATGCAGGTCTTAGGTTTTCATCACGACTCGGGTTGGCCTCATTCGACATCGAACTGTCAGCAACGAACATCAGTTTGATTGATTGAAATACTTATCGAGGGAATGTTTAGTGCAATTTCATTTCTATTAAATCCTTTTTGTATTAATTTTCATTACGGTAATGAAAATTTCATGATAATGAAAATTGAATGAACACCGCATGCACCTTATTTCAATAATGGATGAAAGGAACAATTCGTTGATTGAATAAATTAATCATGTGCAATTTGTTTTGGATAAAAAAAAAATAAGCGGTATGGGTATTAAAATAGTATTGATCACGATGAAAAACATTTCTTATTAATCATAAAATATTTATTTATAGCACTTAGCAAAAGAACCCACACAATTAAAGTGTGTATTTTAGTGGGGGAAGGGCTCACGGTGAGATTTTATAGATGGATGAAGGAAAAAAAAAAGTTATTTCCCGCTCGTTGCTTGAAAAGAGCATGATCAAGAAGAATGCCATGGTAATGTTTGCACTGTACACTGTAATGCTCAAGTTGAGTAGTGTGTGCCCAACCGCGATCCCCTTTTCCTTCAGATTAAGGAAAAAGCGTCCGAGTTGCACCCATACTTGCCCGAAAGTTGCTCGGACATAATCATTATTACCCTTATGTTGGAGAGTTGTTTTTTCCCAACTATGTTTATAGTGCATTGGTAGTCCTTTCTTATAGGGTAAAATTGATATAACAGAATGCAACGGAGAAAGCAGTATTGTCCTTCCTATGACAGAATGTACACAGTCGCTATTAAAGTTGGAATATCATTTCTTACCTAGTTTTATGAAATTATTGTGACAAAATGATTTATTCTTGATAGATAAATTTATATCATCTCATAACTTTATCGATCAGTCTATGATTCTTTAAATGGGTAATAAGTTTTGAGAAGCTATAAACCTTAAATATAATGAATAAATAATTACAAATTATTAAATTATTTGTTTCATGAAAAGAGGTAAGAAAAGTTATTTTAATGTTAATGGGTATCAGTTTATATAAGTCAGTCAGATGCATTAACGAGCAGCGTCACTATTTTCAATTCAAAAGGTCCAGAACCCAGAATGTTAACTATGTACAGTAAGAAACTAAAAAAAAAGAGTGAAACAAATGATAAGGCATTCATTACCAAGTTACCCTTATTTTTACATTGGAAGCGCTCAGAGGCAAATTTAACTTGCGCTGAAGAAAGCGGAATAATCATTCGAAGATATTCCTGACAACTTTTATTTTAAAGGGAGCACGGACAGGTTGACCCCTCCCCCTTCCCTAAACCCGCCTTTATTATCCTTTATTATTATCTCACCTGTCTGATGCCGATGTTGGTTGCCTGTCCTGTCGAGGCAACGACCCCATCGTCCTCCGGGAAGGGGAACACGTTAGGAGGATGAATGGCGACTCGAACCCCGGCCTCTTGGGCGAAGAGCCCCACGTATTCAGGCTGCTCGGTGAACAGTGTCAAGTGTAGACCTGGCCATTCAGTGACATAATATAATATGATTAGATGTTAGTATTTTCAAATGAAAATAGAGATGTTAGAATTATGTAAGAGTTTGTTCTAAAAGACATAAAAAAATATATATACGGCCAAAAGGGTGATGTCAGAGTGAACCGATGGCCCATGATACCGACAAATCAAAGAATACATTACCCCCACCCCCCCCACCCCCCCCACCCCCCCAAAAAAAAAAACCTATAAAAAATTAAAGAATGATAAAATCAACAAAAATTGTATGGGAATATATTTTTTTTAAATAAGATGATAGAAGGAAAAATGCTTGTTACCGGGCATTGAGATGATGTAAAATATAATGCATAATGAACAGGAAATGATGGTTAAAAGCAAACAAATACATAAGAGAAGATATGAATAGAAACAGAGAACAGGGATAAAAGCAGAATGAGAAAGAATGAGAAAGTTGATAAATTCATAGAAAATAAATTAAGTCGTTGTCGGTCTTACTTACTCTCTGAAAAGTTACACAAAAACCAGTGAGACTAAAGGTCCACAAAATAAATATTTTATTTGTTCTTAATTTTGTATTAATTGATCATTTATTATAGGTTTTTGCGGCCAATTTCACATTTTTTCATTCAAGTTTATATTCCTAGCATTTGAATTCGCGTAATTCGCACTCGCAGCGTTAAATCAGCTTTCAAATTCAAAACCTTCATTCAAATTCACTATCTGCGTCATTCAAATGTTAACTAAGAGCGTACATTTCGTGCAAAGAGAATTCAAATTCATCTAATGCCGGCTACAGTACCTCGTTGGTCATTCAAATTCGTGAATGAGCAAGCATGTTTGAAATAAGTGCATTCAATTTCAAAAAAATTATTGTGTTTAGTTTCTTTGGGGTCTTTGAAAAGCTTGTTTTGCTCAATTTGTGAAAAATGTAGGCTTCATTATCATTGTTCATACTCACTAATTTGTAAACTCTCTCAACTAACAAAAAGTTAAAGACATGAATATATAGCTTGCCATATTTAGTACTCATGGCACAAACAGGCCTGGGCACAAACACATACACAGCTAGACAGTTATGGAAACTGCAGAAACTGCCCAAGTGTCATATCACTAGATCCAAAATGACACTCGGTTACTAACTCATCAAATATTGTACAATTAATATCACACTTTTCGTGACATATTCAAAATATATGAATGCACATAATTACCCAGATATGCCTCAGATAAGAAAATGTCAAAAGTTTTGTTTATTTTGTGGTGGACTCGGTGTTATATCTGAGTATTGTAAAAGTGTGTATGCTGATCTTAGGATGGGTAAAGTATATTTGTTCTTGTAGGGGGCGTTATCCGTGTTTAATAATGTGTGCTTTCATCAGCAAAGTGTATCCTTATAGGAATTATATTTGGATTCATAGGTGACTGGTATTCAGCTTATCATATCTGATTAGGCCTACAAAAAGAGGTACAAAATATAAACATGAAGGAAAATGGGGGGGGGGGGCTGGAAGAAGGAAAAAGGGGAGAAAAGTTGAGGGAGAGAGATTAGAGAGAAACAGAGAGTGACAGAGAGTGAGAGAATAGGGAGAGGGTAACATGAGAGAGAGAGAGAGAGGAAACACAAACACATAACTGGTATATAACATCATACAAAGAACAATTTCATTGAAAAGTCTTTTCATAAAGGTTTGTGGAAATGCATTTCAAAGTAATTTATTTTTTTAATAAATTTTCATAATACATACGTAAATGAGACAACCGTATATGAAACAAGAATAAATTAAATTCTCACTCATACGGCTTCATCAGGAATTGATGAATTTATTCAATTTATTCAATCAACAGCATCATAGAAATGCAGTTCGCCAAATGCAAAACCGCAGCGTTAAAAAGCAACAAGCTAAATGTTAAGTGCGAAGCGCGAAAGAGAAAAAAAAAAGTAGAGAGTGGGAGAGAGAGATAATGACAGACAGAGAGGATACAGGCGCGTAGCCAAAAAAAAAAGAGAAAGAGAGAGAGGGAAAGAAGAAAGGAAGAGGACGTAGGAAGAAAAAAAGATTAAGAGTCGAGAACGGTACAACGAATCGTCATCGTTCTCTCAAAATGTAATGAAACGTCAAAGCTTCCGCGCTTCGCGCGGGAAGGAGGAAGGGGAACTTGATTCAAACAAGGATTAAAAGTCGAGGACGGTAAAACGAATCGTCTTCTTTCTCTAATAATTTAATGAAACGTCAAAAGAAACTGAATTTAGACAAGGATTAAGAGTCGAGAACGGTACAACGAATAGTCTTCTTTCTCTGAAAATTTAATGAAACATCAAAGCTTCTGCGCTTCGCGCGGGACGGGAATCCCCCCTCCCTGCACCCACCCCTTTCAGGGAGCGCGCTCTGTAAAGTGATTCGCATGTTCAATACCTTTCCCCTAAAATAAAATCCTTGCTACGTGCTTGAGAGGATAATAACCCATTGAGGGTGACTTGAAAAATTTAATAACTTGTAAGGGAGAAGGTGCAACCTGCCACACGCTTCTACCTCTTGTTTGCTTTGATCCATTGCTGAAAATATTTTGGCACCTATCATCCCCCCCCCCCCCCCCAACCACGGATACAAATCGACACCGTTGATTACAAGCAATCTATTTAAAGAAATCAAAGTTTCCCTCTTATCTGGAATCACACTCAATATTACACTAAATTGAATGCACGTACAATTTTTGTAGTAGGAAATTGGTCACCCAAAAATGAAATTTAATGCCCCAAACAGGCTCATCGCGAGCGCCGCGTTAATGTGAATGCACGAAGTAGGAAAATGTAAATAAGAGTGCCGATAAATGAAATTCATTGCTCTGATTTTGAATTTGAATGCCCCAATTCACCTGCGAGCGACCTCTATGTGCATATGAATGCACGCTCATGAATTTGAATGAAAAAAGAGTGGAATTGGCCGCAAAAACCTATACTAAAATGTATTTCTTATAAATACCACGGATACTCATAGATCGGGATAGATATGCAAGGTACAGAGTCGAGGGGATGGGGGTGGCTTTTCTATTAAGCTACAACGCTGTCCTTTTCACTTGATTTCAAGATATCTTGCCCTAATTTCATTTAATTTGTTCATTTATTTCCATCTTCATATAAAAACAATATATCTATTCATTACAATATTGTACATTAAAACAAAATAAAATAAAGATGCAATCATACATGTTAACAGTATCAAAGACACCAAATTTACCAGTCGAAAATGAGAAAAGGAGAACTAAAATAAGGCCAAAGGGCCTTGTAAAATAAATTCCCTAAAAATATGAAATTATCATTAAAAAAAAACTTATTCTGTTACTGAAAGACATGTAAACAAATTAAAAACAAACAGTGTATAAAAAACAAAAACAAAAATAAGCCAGAGGAACAGCAAAGTGTAAAGTATGGTTATGTTTTACGTCTTTATTAGTGGACAAATAATACATTTTCAGATATTTTTTTAATGATCTTTGGTTATTGCAAAGGGGAATATATTTTGGTAATGAATTCCAAATCACCGGGAGATTACACCGAGGGGATTTGTCTTCATACTAATAAGCTAAATGGTGCCTTTAATTATTCATAACATTGTTCATTTCATTTTATTGTCAACCCGAGGGCGTTTTTATTCACTGGGGAAGTGCATATCTCTTCTCGCTCTACTTGTTACTTTTAATTTTCAATATTGAGTCTATAAAGGGAAAGTCCACCCTGGTAATTTGTTTTAATGAAATCAGAAAAATGAGAGAAATAAATTAAAAATAGGACATTTGAATTTGTCATTAGTGAAACACAAATTGGCAACACTGTGACGCATCTTGCAAAGCTCCCGGTCTTCAATTTGCTCTCTACAGACAATTTCACAAACTTTGATTTTCTCTGTTATTCATGGCGGAATAGATTTGTTTGATAGGTAGTATAAAAACACATTTGCAACAAGTATTTAGGGTGCATGAATATGATTGATAATTTTCTTCAGGGAAACCATAGATTTTTGAAGGTTTCAATACTGGGCAAATGGGAGGGGATCTCGCAAATAGTTTCAAGTTTTATGTTTCACATTTCACACAAAAAAAAGTCACATAAATGACAAAATAAGAACATACTACGAAATATACTCAAAGTATTACATGCATTAAACGGTAGGTTATACAGGGTGAAATGTGAGGAACCTATTAAAAAGCTTAACTTGTAGATTATAGGTTCCCCTAAATATAAACTAATATTTGATTGAAGGGTTTGCACTAGTGAAGGACGTAATAATAATAGAGGGCAAGAAGGCCTTAATTATTATTCAGATGATATACAAAGTGAAACAAGCAAAAATATCAAAAACAAAAACAAATTAATTTGTTACCAAAGTGAATTTCACGTCTGGCACTTTAAAATATTGTGGTCATCCGAGGCAGTGGAAATGGACAATCATGCGTGACTAGGGTCCTGATTACAAACGATTGCATTAATATACACAATATACAAATATACACCTCATAGTATCATGCATACTATTATACGTATTACTCTGCGCAATCAACCTTTCCAATCGAACACTGAGACTGTTTTCCCTTTCTTTGTGTTTCATCCACAATGTCATTGCATGACTAGGGACCCGATTACAAACAATTGCGATTAATCGCAACTTATTTGCGACTGATATAAATCGCAACTATGTACATAAGAGATAGGGGCTAATTTGCGATTGATTAGAGGACTTGCCATTGATTCGAATCAATCGCAACTCTTTATAAGACGGGGCCCAGCACTTATCTAGGCCTACTACTATTTTCTTTGTTATAGCGCTTAGAGACTTCGGTGGTAAGCGTTTTATAAGTAATGTTTTTACTATAGGATTTCCCGGCCAAATTCGCGAATTTGTCATTAAAATTAATTTGTCTTGCGTTCAAATTCGACGGTTTAAGTGCTGTCGGGTATATCTCTGGTTTATATTCCTTTTTCTAGATTTCAAATCTATGAAGTTCTCGTTAAAATGTATGTATGTTTCATTCAAATTAAAGAACAAAGTGCTTCTTTCGCTATTTGGTCATTCGATTTAGCGCAACACGATTTTCTGACATCGCGACGGTGTACTTCTAGCATTCAAATTCATTTGTAGCATTCAAATTAGCACTTCGTGCACTAAAATTAATGGTCAATATACATTTCCCGTTTATTACACACTTTTTATAGCTCATTCTTTTTCTTTCAAGATCGTTTTTTCATGTGTATTTCATTCTATTTTATTTTCTTGCATTTATACTCTTTATATACTTTTAAATTTATCAGATATTCATCAGCCTTTAAGTTTGATTGTTAAAAAAAAAGATTTACATCTACGGACATGATGGTCTCAATATTTGTGTAAATTTTCATGTAAGGAAGTTGTTTGTCTTGTGTTTCATCATAACTTTATCACAATTTCATTATGGAGCAAGGGTACAATATTGTGACTGGGGTAGGTGTTTTTGTATCCCCACTTTTCCGGGGTATATGAACATGTCCGTTCAGAAATGCCATATCCCTTGACTTCACCCCTTCTTTGCCTAATGTCTGACTACACACATATGCTTTGTCCTCAAAATTAATAAATTGAATAACAGAAAAGACCCCAATGGCAAATCATGTATTTAATTGCATTTTTTAAAACTGTTAACGTGTGTTGCATTTCTTCCCCCTAACATTCCTAACTTGAATAAACATAATTCGAATACGAATGACAGGTGTTGATTTGAATGATAAAAATGACGCCCCGACAAGTGACGATTAATTTGAATGCTAGTTGAGCAGTTTCTAAACTGAATGACAGATCTATGAAATCCTTCGACCAAAATCCTAAATTAAATACAAAATCGGGAAAATTGAATGATAATTGGCATGGCAAAGCTGATCTGTGCTAATGTAAATGCAAAGTAAATGAATTAGAATGACAAACTCGCGAATTTGGCCGGGAAATCCTATATTATTATTATTATTATTATTTTTATTATTACCACTTTGTGGATATAGAAACAATTTATTGGTCAAATCTAAGAACCTTTGGGGTGAGAAGAGTCTCCCATCTTCAGAATTCATTTCATTAAGAAGGAAGAACACACATTATTATTAGAGGGTTTAATGAAATGAGACGTGACTACCTCTTTTTATATTTAATAAACCTATCCTATTCTCTTGTAATTATTGTGTCATCTACAATTAGCTTTTAAGTCTGTGTACAATCATTTTTCAAGGTCATATAACATCAACAGCAGTCTATATTAAAGATTTATTCTCCATTCTCAATAATATTTGCGTTGTTATAGCAATTAGGAATGCATCCATAAACTTGCCGATCGGGCCAAAACTCCATTGACTGTGAATAATCACATTAGAGCTTTTAGGTAAAGGCGATTGTCCTTATTCTATTTGACATAGTGACCATCAATCGCGCTTTGATCCTATACAAACACGATGAAAGCCAATTCTTTACACACATTTAACCAACACGCATTAGCATTAACCACTTTGCTGGAGTGCTTATTACTGTCTGCGCTATCAATGTCATGTTACGTCTCATCAATATTTCTTCAGCCCAAATTCACCCAATTAAGAGAATTAATAGAGAATAGTTAGGTGCTTCACTAGTCTTGATGAAGAGACACTGAAAATTATCATAGTTATTGGAATGTGAAATAAATTCTAAGTTATTTGGCAAATTATTCTATATTATTTTGTATATAATGTAATGCAATTTCAAGGAGTCTAATTATTCATGTTAGTTTACATATTTTTGTCAAAATAATGATATCATTTCAAGCCAAGCAATCAAACCAAATTAAAAGAAATCCCAATAGTATAAAATAAGCAAAAATCAACAAAACAAAATTAATAAAACTCAACACACAAACACCAACAACAAAATAAATAAAAAGCAATAAATTTGGCCGGAACCCGCCCCCCCCCCCCCCACTCAGTGTTATTTAGAACAAAATAAATAAAAAGCAATAAATTTGGCCGGAACAACCCCCCCCCCCCCCCCACTGTTATTTAGGGTACGCATATGCGTGTTCCCTCCTTTTGAAAACACCCCCTAAGTCCGGTGTGTAAAGTCAATTTTGTGTATGTACGAGCCGGCCTTTGGTGCGTGAAAACTACCCCTTTACCGGACATTTTGGTAACACGCATGCGGTCATTCCGACTCCGGACTGGGGGGAGGGGGGGGGGGGGGGGGGGGGGGGAGGGGGTGAGGGGGGGGGGGGGGGGGCCGGAATAGGATGTGGTATAATTGGGTTTAAAAACAACGCATGGTGCTGCTTATAGGAAACTCATTGTGGGATGTCACATCGAATTCATCGAATTCATTCAGGCATACAATGTGCACCATCTCCACTCCCTGGGGAGTATTCCTACCCTTATGGTCACCACGGGAGTATATTGCATTTATCATTAAAATAGATTTCTCCATCCTACCACGTCCCAGTTTATCTCGTTGGCATGGAGTAGAAAATGGAGATTAAAGCCTTGCCAGAGGATAGTGCCGTTCCGGTGATCGAGCCCACGACCGTTCTTTGCATTTCCAGTCAAGTATTCATACCACTCTACTACTACACACTCTATAACTCATTCATTCATTCGAGCCATTATACATTCAGACGAAATGTAAAACCAAGGAGTTTTAAGAGCTGGAGACCCAACTGGCCACAAATCATTCCTAGCAGCTGCCATTTTCTAAGGTTGCACAATAAAATCTACAGGTGTGCTGTGACCTTTGAAGTCCGAGGTTCGAAGATGCCAATATCATTGGAAAGCTTGACTAGTGATTTGTTTCATAAAGAAATATCGCTAATATTTCACTTCTTATATGAACTAACAAGGGGAAAATCGAACAGATGATCAATGAATACGAAAGCCTTATTGTGTTAAGAAATTTGCTTATATTGTATTATAGTAGCTTTAATTTGAGAAAAATAGTAAATTTTTACAATCCTAAAACGGGCCTAAAACCTGCAATTTGACACTTTTCCGATTACTTGCGGCTCACAAAAATCAAAAGTGAATTTGTTCATGAACAGTTCTTTAGATGCTATATGTCAGGTTAGTGCCCACACATGCCCAGTCGAGTAATTGTGATTAATATTTCAGGAAATTTTACTCTATTTCCTTTCGCTTGCCTCCTGTAAAAGTAAGCACCATGTATTGCTCGTATTACCCGACGAGTAGTAGCGAAAAGTAATTATCATTACAAAAGCAAATTTCCCTTTGAAAGCGGCCCGTTAGTTTGCAGCTAGGCAGGAATCTTTTGTCTACGTATCTGCAATGAAGATCTAGTTAAGCACATGCCTGACATATTTTCTCATGGCGGCATCGAAGATGGTACAAAGGGAATGAGCTAGATATGACTCTATCTTTATCTATGTACGGACAGAAGACCAGTGAAGAAATTGTCTCGGCATTGAAATGTAGCGAAATGTGTGTTTGAGGTATTATAATTATTTTGTTATCGGTTTAAAATATTAAACATAATGTTGCTTACAATTTTATGATGTAGCTCAATAATTGTAATGCAAATACAAATTATGCATCTAGATAATCGACATAATCATTAATAGCTTATCATAATTATTAATTAATCCAATCATCTTTTAGACTAGCTCTCGTTGTGCATTTTATTTGGCGTGGCGCTTTACAAATTTCATGATTGTATTAAACACCGATTAAACACCCCCTAAAACTAAGTAGAATTGATAAACGGTAGGCAGCATTTGGCAAAAGAAAAAATTGCACAAAATACTTGTGCTGAATGCACCTCTCCCACACGAATGGTATAAACTGAAAAAGGCAAACACAGTACACAAAAATTCCACTTTAAGACTACTTATTTTTAAAACCTTTAATTATAGATTCAACGAGATTCATTTTTACTTAAACTTAATGCAATACTCTTGCATTTACATGCGCTCCGGGCATGTGCTCTGCTTAAAATAGAGAACATGTAAAGTTGATATCCGATATATTTTAAAGAATGTAGGTCTTACCATACTGTGCCCCTGTCTGTCCGGTCCTCCTTGCATTGGAGCTGTTTCCAACTTCTTGGTTGAAAGTGAAGCAGTTGCCATAGTATTTGTTCTGAAACTGGCGGAAATTCCTGCAAATTAGGAGTAAAAGAATGTCGGGGGAAATTTATCCAATCGATAAAGTAGAGGTTTTACCGGCTTCACGCATAATCTCATAGCTTCGCGCGTGCCAGTTGTCATAGTGAATCGTTCATGTTTATTTCCTTATGAACATTCAGTAACAAACAGAATGATACAAATTGCACAATCACAGATCATATTTGACATGCTTGTCGGCTCTATACAGAGGCAGATGCAAAGGCAAAGGCAGAGGAATAAAGCAAAGGAGAAAAAGACTGCCGATCAAATTACTATGTAATTTAAAGAAAATAATCATTACCATCGATAGATGTAGGAAATGAGATAAAAGCAAAGAAGAATGTACAAAGGGAAGAAAGTGACTAAAAAGGAGGAAAATGCACAAAGAGACGTGTGGTGATTGAATTTTCTTACGTGTAATTACAAGGGCGTCTATCGAAGGTACATTGAAGTATGAAATCTTCAGCCTGGTGCCCCATAATCTCCAGTTCTTCCCTTGTAGGGTTGATGACATCAAGAAGATCACTAAAGTCATCTGCCGTTGACTGTCTGTAGAACCCTTCCCAGTCATTATCACTGGTTACATCACCCCAGTCGTATGCCTGGTAGTCGAACATGTTTGTCTCCCACTCAGGTTCCCACCAGTCGAACCTTTCAGGATCTTCAGAAGAATCTGATGGTGATGGGTCTGATGATGACGGGCCTGTGTTAGTTTGTCGCTTTCGACGCACGAATCGTCTTTGATCCAGTTTACCAGTGGTAGGATCAGGGATGAGACGGAGGCCTGACCTCCGCTTCCTCAATGGTGGAACCTCATCGGTGGATGACCATTCTTCATCGACAAAGGATTCTGTTCCATCGGATGTTGCCGAAGCAGTGTCCACATCGCTTTGTGTGGAATATTCTTGGTTTTGAGGCGTCGAGGATGGATAAGTTGAGGAGTTTCCATCGGGTATGTCAGTGAAGTTGGCCATCGTGTTAAAGCTAGAACCGTCCGTTGCCGAGTCCCCACTCATGTCAACCACGGATTGGCTAGTACCAGAGATGACAGATCCTTCAGCACTTGGTCCAATATCCTCTTTACTGCTTTCCTCTCTTGATGATGATGAATCTTCATACTTCAGCCACCATTCCGATGACCAATCAAACCACCAGGAGTAGTCGACATCACCACCCATGGCACCGCCATCGGCTTCGATCAGACTTTCGAAACGAGTGCCGACCATGGCAGAGCGTCGCATCTTGTTCATGTTGCACACGGTGACAGCAGGAAACTGAACCTCTGTCTGCGTGACCACGTCGATCTGCGTCGTGTAAGGATGTCCTTTGTAGTCGAAGAGCAGTAGGCTTCCTTGCCACAGGAACGCTCCAAGAGCGGCTAGGGTGACACAAGCCCAGAAGAGTTTGGACAGAATCGATTTAGATGTGATGATTCGGGGTACTCCATGGGCCGTTGTCACACCGCTGTATTCATTCAGCACTGCTTTGACGGAATCGGTCTTCATTGGGTGTATATCGTCATACTCCGGAGGAAAGAATGAATTCTCTTTAGCTCTGCAGATGGGAACAATTAAAAAGAAAAATGATTTTAATAACATTTCTTATTATAGGGACATTATTACTAGGAACATCAAAATAATAAAATGAGACCATAATTAATTCGGCTTTTTAACGTTACATATACCTCCATAGGCAGATAAATTATCTACTATGAATTGATGATTTAGATGATAACAATAAAATACATTATATTCATCATTTTTTTTTATTATGGCATTTTGTATAACTTAGTTTTGTCTAACCCATCCAGTTATTCTCGCATTTCCATTCCCATAAACTAATCAATGTGTATGAATTCCCCCGCCCCCAAAAATATATATATATATATATATATATATATATATATATATATATATATATATATTGGCCCAACTCAGCATTAAGAATACTTACTTTTCCATGATCGATGTATCTATACACTGTCGTATTTTTCTGCAAAATTCCTCCTAGCAACTACTCATATTTTGATTTAAATGATCCAAAGCAAGAAATTCCTAGGTATTCACACTCAGACTATTCAGTCGTTTGGATACGATATATTTGCCGTGATGAAGGTGTCGCTTCGTGTCCGTATCAATTTCCCATTAGTAGGTGCTACCTTACCTTACCGCTACTCAACAATATTTAATGATGAGACTGATCTGCGTTCAAGGGCTGATGAGTAAGTGCACCTCGCAGCTCTTCTCCATTGTTGACTGACGTAGGCCTTTTATCCTCATCATGCACTGCTAAATTAGTCGTGCGTGATGAAAAAACAGAGCTCTTTCCTAAATGGATTTCATTCGAAGCGATTTTATGAGGAAATACTTTCCCATACGACCATGGCCAGAAAAAATGATGGTATAACTTCCGGAAGATATTAATTAGGGATTGTTTGCATTTGTATTTAATTAAGTAGCATCTAGTCGTTTTCCCTCTTACTTTAATAGGACTCCTAAAATTAATAGGAGACGTTTTGTTTTTATTATATAGGGCCGCAGTTAGAGGCGTAGCCAGCTTAGAGTACGCCTAAGTGCCCATCCCGTTCGAAAGCAAAGGGGGGGGGGGGTCTTATTCTTCATATTCTTAGAACTACCATCAAACGAACGGCGAAAAAGAAGAAACATTGAATCAATTTGTTGACATTCAGTTTTCTTCCCGAGACCTGACGCTAACCCTTTTTCGTAAGAAAAGTATGTAGAGGATATGAAAGCGTAAATCCCGGAAGAGAGAAAGAGAGAAAGGGAGAGGGGGAGGGGGAGGGGTGGGTCTAATAAGCCCATTTTTACCTGCGATGTAAAATTCATCAATAAACCTTACCAATTAATATCAACTTAATGTATTTCAGATCAAAAACAAAAATGCGGGGATGGGACTAATTGCTAGTAATGTAACTGAGACTGAGAGTAATGTTATCCTTCTTTTTTAAGGATTTGTTAAATTGATTCGTGCTTGCGAACAGTGTTGCCAGGTCCCAGCAGAACAATAAACGGCATGTGAAAAATCACAAAAATTTCAAACTTCACCCTAAATTTAACAAATTTAGAGAATGCCCGATTCCAATGCCAATAAGGGCTGTTATTTGTTGTTGTTGTTGTTTTTTGTTGTTGCAATTTATGCAAGGTTTTTGTCACAAATTTCATTAGAAAAAAAAAAAAAAAAAAAATCGCCTTTTTTTTTTGGGGGGGGGGGTTGTTTTCCTTTCATTATTACTCATTGATTTATTGATTATTTTTATTTGTATTTCTATAGTTTAAAAACATCAACATGTAAAGTTCAGGAACTCATAATGGTTGATTAACATTGAATTTGAATAGTGTAAACAAAATTGAACCAAAATATATAAACTTAAGAAAACATGTTATTTTACGCACATGCAAATATGGTTACAATACAATAATCAACAGTGAAGCCAGGCTGGCTCCATTTAGCAAGACCAAAGCGAAAGATGACGATGGAATAGAGAGAGAGAGAGAGAGAGAGAGAGAGAGAGAGAGAGTGGGAGAGAGAAAAAGAGGGACGGAAAGGGGGAGGGAAGAAGAGAGGGAAGGGGAGATACAGAAAAAACGAAACCGAGAATTAGTTTTATCATAACTTAGTCACATTTATAATTACTAAATGACACATATTTGGAAAGCTTAAATCCTCCTCTTTTATTTGATGCAACTCATTATGATGCATATTTCACACATGAGTGATTAAAATGAATTTGAAGAGAGGAAACCCAAAAGTCATTTGGCGGACGGTATCTGAATTTCACATTTCTAGAAAGTAGAGGTTCTGCCCTTTCATATGACACCTCAATCAGGAAAAATGAGCAAGGAATGACAAATTTCTGTTTGTTTAAAAGTAGTACTTGCATTTCCATAATTTATCAAACGAATTCACTTTCACTGGGTGCCTGCCGTAGCAACAAACAGAGTTGACAACAGACTTAACTCCCTTTCGTTGACAATCAGCCGTACACGAACGACTTCATGCATGAGAAAAGTCGGGTGAGAAATTTGAAAAGGGCACAAAATTTTGGATGTCTTTTAAATAGAAGCTATATACTCATCAGTCAAATTTTAAATTAACGGTAGGGCCGCTTCACAACTCTTATTTTGCCCTTCATTTAGATTCAGCTCATACCAACTGGCTTGTGCTTGTATTTGAACTCATGTTAGACAGGGGCGGCAATCCTGGGCCCGATAGGGGGACACGTCCCCAAGGAAATGTAGAAATATAGCTAGAAAGAAATATAGCGGAAAGAACGTACATGATTGGGCTCGCCCGATAACACAAACTTTGATATGACGCTCCCGGCCGGCGTGATTTATCCATGGTTGGGATGTAATAGATCTCTTTTTTTCTTCATTTCTACTAACCTAATTGTGTGCTATCACAATCATGATTGTTTCATTTTACTTTTAAGCAGGCGCGTAGCCAGGGGCGGTAGGGGCAGTAAGAGGACAAAGGACGAAGAAGGACAAAGAATCATTTTTGAAAATTCTGACAAGTCGAGAAGGGTACAACAAATCGTCTTCTTTCCCTAATAATAATTAATGAAAGGTCAAAGTTTCCGCGCTTTGCGGAAGGGGGGAGGAACTAAATTTGGACAAGGATTAAGAGTCGAGAACGGTACAACGAATCGTCTTCTTTCTTTCATTAAATTATAATTAATGAAAAATCAAAGCTTCTGCGCTTCGCGCGTAATGGGGGGGGGGGGACATGAGCTGCCCGAATATGAATTTTTGATATATTTTCTCGTTTATTTTGGTGATAAATAACACTTTCACAAAATACATATTATGCTCAAAATTTTGCTCGCTCGCTTCGCTCACTAGCCGAATTGTGAAACATGAACATTATTTTTTCGGGCAAGAGGCTATAGCCCCCTCCCTCCGATGAAAATGTCAAAAATTGTACAGGTTTGGTGCCTCTCATATGACCTTTTAAGTATTGGTATGTTGAGTTGAAGAAGAAAAAAACGGTCTGCGCAATTTTCAAATTTTCGCCCCCCCCCCCCCCCCCCTATTTGAAAATCCTGGATCCGCGCCTGTATTGATATATGTTTCTACTTTCATACCCCTAGACGGGGTCGATAGAGTCAATAAAAGCTTACAATCTTACAGTGAAGGTGAAAGTGAAAGTGAAGGAGAGAGAAGGAAGAGAGAGAGGAAGAGAGATTTATTTATTGTTTCGCATCTTTATACAGAGTAACACGTTCAGCTATATAATCATTACGAAACATTGTTAAAAACATTAAAATAGGCTGGTTTACAAAAGGCCCCGTTTAAAAACAACATAAATATGACAATGAACAATATTATATATAGAAATGACAGGGGTAACGACAATGTCTCTACACGTGCAACACGAAGCACCAACATGATGAGGATAGAAAGAGAGACGAGAGAAAGAAAGAGAGAGAGAGATCTTTAAATGCGAAAAAGAAACAAGCTGGTAGAAAAACGTAGCATTAAAACAAGAATACTATACATACATTTAATCTAATAGTAACTCTTTTCCCTTCCGGATCACCAAGTCTTGGTTTGGTGACAAAATTGAATTAAATCTCCCTAAGCCTTTAAACAAATCACAACATTTTCTTTTCATGCCAATTTTGGTGACCGAGATCAACATCTGTAACACTGCTTGCGAAGTTCGAAAAGCGACTCGCCCGTACCGCCCGTAACGTACGCATTTACAAAACAAGCACACAGCTATCTCGCAGCAACCATTGTCCAATCACTGAGAAGTTGAACGACTTATACGTTGCCCCTTTTTTGTTTGGGCTCGTCACGCCCACGACCCAACCATGCCATTGAGCGAGATAGTATAGTTCGCAAATTATGAATTGCTATCGAAAGTAAATCACGCAATCTGAAATTCAATTATCATTTTAAAAGTATTTTCGACCACAGATGATTAGATAAATAAGAATATAAATGAAAATAAGCATAGAGATTCATTTAAAGTACACGCGCATTAATAATCAAAACAGTGAGAACTATTTACACGTAACCCCTATGAGCGTAATATTTAGCGGTATCGAATATACGTGCAGTGTGCTATCATTATTGTGTGTGTGTAAATATTAGTAGTAGAACACGGGTTTCGTGCATATCTATGCTACCGCTATTGATCGTCAAAATTTTGCTATATTTTGTGTTTTCAAGTGGATCTGGGGCATGTCCTAGGAAAGGATTTTTCGTTATGGAATGACGATCAATAAGACAGATCTTAAAGGAAAAACAAGGTAATTGATAATATACTGGTGGAAAAGATCATGTTAATTTATGTCGTTATTTGTACGAAGAAAATGTTATTCAGCTCAGCAGTCTCGAGCTCGACGCGATCACGACAAAGCAGGTTGCATTGCCAAATGTATGCATGCGCTAAGTCACAGCCCTGCCCCAGGTTTGGGCAGTCTCGTCTAGGCTCTGCCACTTTTTAGTGTACTCAGGAAGCTGTAATGAATGGAGATCCCGTCCAAGAGGCCCCTTTGAAGTCATCCGTGGCACCGCGCGTCTTTTGTTTCCCCTACCGTAATCCCCTTAATCCCCCTCCAAAACCTTACAGCTCCCTAGTAGCACTAAGTCCTCCCTTTCCACACACAGCCCAGCCCAGCGAGCACGGCGGCTTTTGCTTTGCCGGCCCGTACTTTGGGTGAATAGTGGTGCTAACTTGACAACTTCTAGCCCTAAATCAATAAATGCGCAAACATACAACACAATTTCATTTAGTTCTTTAGGAAGATAAACCTTTGGACTACCTTCCTAGCTATGTACAAATTTCGGAAATTTTCGGAAAATGTCAATAATTAGATGAGAAAATCATGATTATGAAAATCTTTCATTCGCTCTAACTCATGATTTCCTTGGTCGATTTCGCTGGTTAAAATGGCCATGTCTTCAGTAGAGCTATCCGAGAACGGAAGACGCATTTGATGACTAATAGAAAGTTGCATTGGTCATAATGTTGTGAATTCTGCATTTTATATGTTATAGCTAAATACATCTTCCATGAACATGACTTAATTTGTCGGTGCCACGCATGGCTTCAAAGCCCGATGCTTGCATATTTTTGCAAACGAGTGAATAGAGAACTTAGGGAAACAGATTGCGTTGCGTAACATTTCGTACTATTTGGAATGCCAGAGAGGGACTGTGCATTGATATGGACAGCTGTTGATGGAAATGATGGCTGGAGAGGGTTACATTTCTTTTTGTTAAGCCAGGTTAATCTTGAATAATTTTCCCTCAGAAAATTCTTTCGAGACGGTATCTCCATTCATTACAGCTTCCTGGTGTACTCTAGATCTAGTTGAGTAGATCTAGATCTAGGTCTAGACCTCTAGTGATAATTTGATATTGATAATGATATGCAAGAATTTGTTTGTAGTTTACGAGTGCAGCAGCAGTGGTCCAGATTTTTAAAACCAAAGTAGAGAGTCTAGGGTCTACTAGACCGAAAGCTTCAGTCTCTAGGCCTAGGCCTATACCGTCGGTTGTTCCACCATGTCCACTGAGACTACGTCTGGCTCCACTAGACCTCCGGTTATAGAGACAGAACGATCGCCTATGCCAGCCTATGTTGAAGATATCACGGCTAGATTTTAGCCGTTAGGCCCCTCCCACAAACATGAACAAACTTGCCACGGCCGTATTGTTATGCCCCCAAAATCCCCCAAAATGTCATTTTACCTCGTGCATATCCAATTTTACATTAGGCCTAGGCTATAATACATCGGTTCCACTTACTAACTTGATTGAAATAATCCGTTTAATGGTCCCTTTAAGGAAATTATGGGTCAAAATCGACATCCATGTTGAAAATCTTGCAAGCCGTGTTAAACTCTCGCTGCCGTCTGTGTGTGTGTGTGTGTGTGTGTGTGTGTATTGGGTTTTTACAGACGTGTATGATTATTTACGTCTGGGACCGACCTTTAAACGTCACCATCCGAAAGACGTGACTCAGTTTCGAACCTGCGTCCTCGGCTGAATCAGTTTGTAACTTCCACTTTTTAGCTGGATTACAGGCGCACGCCACAACACCTAGTTGTGGCGTCAATCTCATCCCTTCTAGTCTACGCCGAAGGCAAAATGATTATGAAGGAAAAACTGTGCGCCATCTACACGTTCGTAATGGCGTTATCACAGTTTTTCCTTCATAATCATTTTTGCCTTCGGCGTAGACTAGAAGGGATGAGATTGACGGCAGCGAGAGTTTAACACGGCTTGCAAGATTTTCAACATGGATGTCGATTTTGACCCATAATTTCCTTAAAAGGGACCATTGAACAGATTATTTCAATCAAGTTAGTAAGTGGAACCGATGTATTATAGCCTAGGCCTAATGTAAAATTGGATATGCACGAGGTAAAATGACATTTTGGGGGATTTTGGGGGCATAACAATACGGCCGTGGCAAGTTTGTTCATGTTTTTGGGAGGGGCCTAACGGCTAAAATCTAGCCGTGATATCTTCAACATAGGCTGGCATAGGCGATCGTTCAGTCTCTATAACCGGAGGTCTAGTGGAGCCAGACGTAGTCTCAGTGGAACAACCGACGGTATAGAGACTGAAGCTTTCGGTCTAGGTCTACTAATGTCTAAAGACAGTGAAGTGAAAATAAAACTAGTCTAATAACAAATAAAATAGACTAGACTTGCCAATAATAGATCTAACTAGTTAATAGCAATGTGAAATTAAGTAATTCCACTTTCCAGTGCTCTCTTTTGGTCATGTCATTTTTGCATGGTGTCTGTGTCGGTATATTTAACTTCTCTGCCGCCTCTTTTGTTGTTTCCATTTAGCAGGTTTAACTAACTTTCAATGTTTGTTCACCAACTACTTCTACATGTACTTCTACATGTACTTCTACGACGATACTCAGCAGGATCCATAAGTCAGGATGTAGGCCTAGTGCTAGACTAGACCTAGTAGTTCTACTATCCATGCATGGTGAAATACCATCTGGTCCAGGAGCTTTGTTGGGTTTGATCTTTTTAATCTGCTTCAGAACACCCTTGCTCTTTATGGTCAAGGTTGGTATGTCAGGAACACTGCCCCTCCCAGGGTTGGAACATCTAATGTATCTTCAATGTTGAATACACTAGCAACCTTGCCGAGGCGAGTTGGCTCAACTCAGTCGATAAAGGCAAGCGTCTGCCTGTTGAACCAAAGATCTCGGATGACTGAAGCCTGCGTTGTGTGTTTAAAATGTGCCCCTCCCCTTTTTTATAGACGCAGGCTATGTTAATAGGAAAACACTCCATCCCTCGGATAGGACATTGAATGGAGGCCCTGTGTAGAGAAGAGTCACTACCTTTGCACGTTAAGAACCCACTGCACTATTCTAAGACTTTAAAGAGTAGGGGGAAATCCTGGTGAAGTGGTCCACCTGCACACCCCAGTATAGTGCGATTATCTTCATCACCATGAAGCGACACTTAACTGGAAGAAGAAGAAGAAGAATACTCTGTAAAGAGGGATGTACTCGAAATGGAAGAAGAAGAGGTCAGCAAGTCAGAACACCAGACTCTTCTTGTCTCATTTTCTTGACAAAGGGCCAGCAGGCCTTTGAGTACTCTACCATGAAGTGGGACAGGTTATCCGACATATAGTTTCGCTTAGAACGATTAAGTTCTCTTCTGAGAGAATGACTGAAGTCTTGTAGATCTCCCAGTCTTTTTGATCCCCAGATTTGTTTACCCCCAGATTTTTTTGACCGCCTCTATACAGATGGAAGGTTGACAAATGTCAGTTTTATTCAAGAATTCCCCATACTAGACAGTTATTTCTGTCTAGCTTAGTTTACATGTATACGCGCTTTATTGAGAGGATGATTTGAGATCTATTAATGTTTATGATTAATTTATGCTCATTGACATTGAGTCAACGCTTTTCATGCAGCTCTGCCTTAGGCTCTAGCTATTTGTTCCTGCTCCATGACGTGACATCGGCTGTTTTAAAATGAGGCTACATGTTGATTCTTACAGGCCCTAGTCCTAGAACATATACTCCAACTTAGCCTTTTAGTCATACAGCTAGTGAATTTAAGCCTTAAATTTGTCACAAAAGTTCATGTTTAATGTATGGCCAGAAAGCCTTCGTCTGCGCATACAAATACAGTGCACATATTACTGTGCAATTCTTAACACACAAAATATGCAACAAACACTAAACCTTCAGATTTATTTTAGTGATATATTTGGGAAGAAAAAAAAACAGATGAGTAAAATGTATTGAGAAAAGTCTAATAAAAGTAATTTTATTCATAAGCCTCAAAATGCCATTTTTCGTGTAACAAATCCTGAAATGCATTGTTATTACATGTAAGAGCATGCTTTTTTGGTTGAATGGTTCCAATATTTTGACGATCCTCACTTAATGCCTCAGATTCACCGCTTCGAAGTTAGTGGACTTCATTCATGGCAGGGCTCGAAATTAGCAGTTGCCTGGGTGCCATTGGCATTGACCACTTAAAACGCCACCGGGCAATCGAATGTCTTGGCTGCCCGGCTGGTAATCCTCCGAAAACCCAGTAATATAAACCAACACTTAAATATATTACTTCACAAATGCCAAGGCACATCCACAAAATACTTTGGCTGACAAAAAGGAGAGCCTAACAGGCGTCACAGCGTGCTTATAATGATCCTACTATGTCAACAAACACAACAAAAACGAGCAGCTGACAGTGCCAGCTATCCATCACTCACGCGGCAAGAGTAGAGAGCGGAGGCGCCAGGAGCACCCTGTTCCGGTTGGCCCTGGTGGCCTGGTTGGCAATATCCGGCTAGCTATAATCATATCTGCGCGCCGCTGCTGCAAGCTTGTGTGTTGTTGTTTACATCATGTTCATCATCCTTCTGCGAACGTGCTCTTCATTGATACCATAAATGATATAATACGTACGCAAGCCCTCGCACGTTCAGTATCTTTTTGCCAGGTCTTTTGCCCGGCACAAAATGACAATACACTGCCTCCTCCCCTCCCCTTCTTAACTTTTAACCTACCGTATTCACTGTGACCTCCTAAACTGCCATTTGGCAAGCGTGTAAAACTGTAGGATGCCTGGCTGGCAACCAAGAAAAAAAGTTGAATGAGAGCCCTGCATGGGTATATCATTTGAATCTCACCAACTTTTCAAAACATTTCATTGAACAGCTTTACAGGTAAAACATATAGGTTAATGTTGAGTCGTCTATTTATTTCCAGCTATGTGTTGGAAATGTGCAGCGGTCTGCAGTCAACCGTTCAGGTTAAGCTTCTATCCTGTTCTCATCTTCCATTTCAAATAATAAAAAAATTACTAAGAACAACTACTACTAAAATAACAATAATGATAACAATTGTTATAATAATTATGATTAAATCAATGCATAAAAATACACAATTGTAGGTTGTTAACTTTGCAACATGACTATGTCAGTTTAAAAGGGGTATACATGTAAGTGCATGTATATTGCTCAAGACCTTGAGTACAATAGATACATTTGCATTTAGAGCTAATCATTGTATTTCTTCCATTTACTGCATCTTTTCAACTATCAGAATCATTCAGTACCCCCCCCCCTATTTTTTTTTTACATTATAGAAAATATTGAAGCGCCATGAATCTTCTTGAGAAATCAACTTGCATATCGTGAGAGAAGTATCAGAACAAAGAAAGACCCATCTACCCAGACCATGGTCTCAGACACCCTACCTAGCAGGGTGGGGCCTGGGTTCTCCAGGGACAGCTCCAGTTACATAGAAGACATTGAAGATGAAGGGGAAGGGTTTGAGGAGGACCTTGAAGGAGAGGGAGATGTGGGAGACATCGGGGATAGCGGGGTGGAAGACACAACAGCGACATCAACAAAGACAGATTCAGTGGTGAAGAAGAAGAGGAGAAGAAAAAAGAAGTGAGTTGGCACAACATGATTCATTCATGCTTCATTTTATTTTGTACATTAGCAAGTATAACAACCTTCTTTTGAAAAGAAAAAGTGGGTGACTTTTGATGCATTTGTACATTTGTAAGTATACAGATTTAAATAATAGCATACTAGTACAATTTTATTTTTGGAATAAGGTTTAAATCTTTTACATTGGCCAAGAAAGTCTACATAATCACAAAAGTAAAGTTGAAATAGTACATGAACGTAACATACATGTATATCAAAATTATTACATAATGTAGATGTGAATTGAATCATTGACAATATAGACAAATCAATTCAAACAAATCAATTCATTATCTTTTAGCTACATGTATGCATGAATTAGTCACCTTTAAATGGGTCAGTCAATAAAAATGTAAAGTGAGTACATTTTATAATTCTCTTTCTTACAGAGTCATTGGGATAAACTTATCCAGCTGCAAGTATGAATCAGGTGAGCTTAATGTTTACTTACAAGATCCCCAAATGATGTACATTTTATGTGTACATTTTATGTTTACATAAAAAAGATTAATAATGATTCTAATGTACTGTACCTATGTGTCTTTGTTCCATAAAAGCATTGCATTTTATCACAGCTTTAACACTTTTTGATTGTATATGAACATTGAACTGATAAAATTATATTTGTTATTTCATAGAAGATATTTATCTATTTTAAAAGGCAAAGGTAGCAGTTTGAAAGGAAATAGAAAATTAGGAAAAATAATAAATGTAATATAAAACTGTCATCAGTTTACATCGTAGGTCACCTAAATTAAGGCAGGAAGTTGAGTCTTCTAATGTGTGGATTACTTGTTGTTGATAGCCTTGTGTTCAGCAATTTAAGTGCAACTGCATACATGTATGTTGTAGCAGATTTGTGCCCGAAATGAAGTACATGTACATACATCATTTGTATGTATATGTATATACATGCTGTACATCTTTTAACAAAATTTGATGTTAGATATTAAAGAATATTATACAAATTGATAAATTGTAGGGGTACAACATTTGTCAGTCTTCATGAAAATGTAAACTTATGGTACATGTAGGGTACAGTAGAAAAATATTGGAAAAGCTCATGTTTGATATGTATTTCTAATGTTCAAATTTAGTTTAGGGCAAAAGCAGGAATTCAGTTATACAGTAGTGTATGCAAACTGTAATTGTATACCCCCATACATGTACACATCATGCTCCTGGGCTGCACATACATGGATAATGTATTTAATGTTTCTTTTTAACTTGTGTGGCCGTACAGTTCGAAGAATGTCCAAGAAGTTTGGAATGAAAGAGGTAGGAGAGGATGAGGACTGGACGCTCTACTGGACTGACTGGACTGTTCCTCTTGAGAGGGTTATGGAGATGAAGAAATACCAGGTAAGTTTTCTCCCCCAAATACATGTGTGAAAGTCTGAAAACTCAATGTATCAAATGTGCATACACAGCCTATCCAAAATAACACAGGCAATACGTTTTACAAACATGTTTTGATATTCAGCGTTAATTGAAACCTTGACTAGAGTGCCTTGGATTTTTGTCAGGAAGTTTCTAATTTATGTGAGCATGATCACCCCACGTGAAATTATATCCTTTACCTTTTTTCTTTCGTTGATTGCTTTTCACTGAAAAGCATGATAAGTCCAAGCCATCTCATGATACATGCTCAGCTGATATAATTAACTAATTGAATTACTAGCCTACTACAATATACATGTACTGGTACATGTATGTGGTCCTGGCAGAATCATATACATGTCTACAGTGTACATGTATGTACATTTAGATAGTTTCATGTACAGGTACATTAGCTTAGGGTATTATTGTGATATGCATTTTTGGAGATCTCAAACTTGGCCCTTTATGCTTGGGTGTTGGTATATTTATGTTCAAGAAAAGTATGATTAGGCCTTTAAAAAAAGATATTGTATTGCCATTTGAGACTGACCTAAATATCTTGAAATCTATGGTCGGCTTTTTAAAACGTTTTTTTCCTTACCATTTTTTTAGAGAAAACAAATAGTAAAGCAATCAAGACTGAGAAATATCAGCTCAAAGAGGAAGGGGAAAAAAAATAATTTCTGATCGACCGACCGACGCATGTTTTGGCACCTAAAGGGCAATACAACACTTTTTTTTTTAGGCCTTACATTGTCTATTTACCAATTCCATTACATATTACATATTACACATTACATATTACAATTACATATTCCATGATAACTGATTATTGCATAGAATTGTGATAATTAGTTTGTTGTAAAGCTTTGTGTTCATTGTAGAGATTTTGTAGATTTTTAGCAAAACTAGGCCACCTTACAATTCATACACATTTTATGAACCTTAAAGAGATCTACCCTTTGTTTTCAAACAAGAGAAATTCAAACCACTCGTTTGACCTCGCAGCTATCACATTGCATTAATACATATGATCCACTTGCTTTCCATTTTGTTTGCTTGTACAGAAAGTGAACCACTTTCCTGGTATGACTGAGATCTGTCGCAAGGACCTTCTTGGTCGGAACATGACCCGGTTACTCAAGCTGTTCCCCAAGGATTATGCTATCTTCCCACGCACCTGGGTGCTCCCTGCAGAGTAAGTTTGTAAACATGACGGAGCAGATTTAGTTTTTGCTATAAGTAGGACTTGATATAAATTTTATGTTGGCATTGATGCAGAAGATGTCAAAAAAAAAATTTAATCAATATGTTTCCATCATTTTACAGGTACAGTCAGCAGTGTTTTTTATGTGCAAAAAACCTTGAGTATAATGTTTGCATTATTAAAAGAAACAAAATATCAGTTAACTTATTTGTGGATTCATACATACACAACAGATTTTATTTGGACTTTATGTTTGTCCTCAATAATAATGCTACATGTATGCTATTCTTGTATAGCGCATTTCACATTATGATTACCTCTCTATGCACTTCCAAGGACTTTGGTTATTATAATATCCTGACTTTAGCTCTAGGAACTGTAGCAATCAATGCATTCAAGGAATAAAATCCTACCAGATATCTACTTACTACAACTGGATTGACGTGTGGCAAATGTAGATTAAAGGTAAAGACCAGTATTGGAAACGCCCCAATTTCAAAAAATGAAATGGAAGCTCTTATTAATACCACTCATGTGAAAGAATATGTTTTGAATAATACATGATGATAAAAATGTTGACGGGAAACCGCCTACTAATTGATATATTTGGTAAATTAGTGTATCTCTTGTCTGTTGAGAGATACAAATGCACGTGTCGTGCACGTGTGTGTAGTCCCATATACATCTTTCTGTGTACTGTGATTCTAACTTTATGAAGACTTGGTCAAATTTCTTATCATTTTGATGATTCCAGAAACTTGCAGTACATCTATGCTAGATGATCAACCTTTTCTGATCGATTTCACAATGTTTCTTTCACAATGCAATCGCATGGCCATAACTGGTCTTTAGCTTTAATGTCTTTCAAAGGGCGTTAGTGCTGTGGCAGGGATTTCAACTCATACCAGGTGGTTCACAGTTGGGGTACCTCTACACCTATTATTTGATTTGATTTGATTTGATTTATTTATTTCTGTTTGGTTTTCTTTTTCTTTTGTATTTTTACAAATATATAACAAACAAACATTGCAAATTTACACATGACAAAAGAATATATGTAGAATAAAGTAAGGCTGGCTGTAACTAATCAGAAAACATCAAACAGGAGGGTTGAAAAAGTAAGCAAAGCTTCATAGTATGACTACCCTCAAAGGATACATAATAATACAAATACGGAGGAGAACAAAATATTAGTAAAAGGGGAAAAAGACAAAGACAAAGAAGAAAAAAAAGAAAGAGGGGATGCACATCAAGACTCAAAGATGTATGTGGTAGTTGGATTTCAATTTTTTATATAAAGATAAAAAAGAAGATGCAAATTTGAATATTGAGTGGCCAACTTGGGATATAATAGAATGAGAAGACTCGCGAGGAAGGGTAACAGAATTAAGAAGGCATTTAAACCCCGTACCCTGTGGTTCACAATTGGGATACCTCTACACCTATTATTGAGGTAGGGTAACAGGATGAAGCAAGAAATAACATTATCTACATATATTTGTAACAAAAACAACCTCTAAAATCCTTTAAACAAGACCACGGCTACGTTCTTTAGGTGAAACATATGTCCATTCTTCATGCCTTACTTCCATGACAATATTGTTCTTTTGGTTTGTGTCTGTAGCTATGGTGACTACCAGGCATTTTGTAGGACCAAGAAGAACAAGACGTATATCTGCAAACCTGAAAGTGGATGTCAAGGGAAAGGAATCTTTATCACCAAGAACCCTAAAGATATCAAGCCTGGAGAACACATGGTGTGCCAACAGTACCTCTCTAAGGTAAGCACCCTAAATGGACTCTTCAATAATATTTATTATTATTATTATTATTATGTTTTTACTTTATATACCTATATTAAGTTTGCTATTCATAAAATGGATAATTATCAAATGTCTTCTTTGTGCACCCGATCAGATGAGGGAAAGAAGGCCTGTGGGCCACGGACATGAAATTTGACCTGTTCCTTACCCAGGCTACCTGGTCGGTTGCGCAAGTGTCAAATTATTGTATTCATTCACTATGTCATATGTACATCGTATAGTGTTTCCTGATTTTGTTTCTTTTCTTTTGAATGTGACAAATAAATAATAATAATAATGGCATATAATGTATATTCAATTAAAATATTTTTATTTTTGAATTTTGAACAAAATTGCATATGGTGGAACATACATTTAGGTCTTTCCTGTAATAAAATATAGTAAGCTATAGACAACAGGTTGATTTTTGTTTATATAAAACTTGGTACAAATATATATATGTATTTAATGATTTTTATAATAACTTTTGATTTCTGATGAATAGTCTTACATGTAATTTATAAATCATAATCTTATCTTTGTAATATTTGACCTTCATGTTTGTGGGATTTTTCCTTATTTGAAGGAATTTAAGTTCTTTTTATAGCCCTGTTGGGATGTTTTGATTATTTAGAATGTGACTACAGCATCATTATCTTGCTCCTAATAAATCTCTGAAGCCTGGAGTAAAAGTTGCCAATTTAAGATGTATTTATATACCTTAACCTTGATATCCTTTGGCAGCCCTTCCTCATCGATAACTACAAGTTTGACTTCAGGATCTATGTTTTGGTAACGTCCTGTGATCCTTTCAGGATTTACGTCTATAAAGATGGCCTTGTCAGATTCGCCACCGTGAAGTACACAGATCCAACCAGTAGCAATGTTGTAAGTAATCATTACCAACAGTCCTAGTTATTGCATTGTGATGAAGGGAATTATTTTCACTGTTTATGGAGGACCCCCCCCCCCCCCAACATCTACTTACAGGGGTTTGGATATGTTTACAATTTTTAAGGTCTTACGCATGGGCCCTTGTATTGAGGGTTCCAGAGTTTGAATTAAAGGAGGGACATTTATGTTTGGATCTGCAAAGCTGTTGGTGAATTTGCACAGTTTGCAAAACACATTGTAATGAATTTTGAAAGCTTCAGCATAAAAAATAGTTGTTTTGAATTATAAACATTTGTTCATCTTCCTTAATTTTTTTTCACAAGTTGACTGTATAGGTCTAGAACAAACTCCTGTTTTGATTATGCTTCTTATAATGATTCAAAAAGTGAATTAAGTACACCATGACATACATGTTAAATGAAGATGAGACTCAGACTGGTGCAGAGAAGTCACTTTGATTGTATACTTTGCTTACAGGATGATGTGTGTATGCATCTCACAAACTACGCTATCAACAAACACAGCTCAGACTTCATTAGAGATGATGAAAGTGGTCACAAAAGGTGAGATACTTTGATCTAGTTCTTTGTCATGTATTTGTTGAACGGTAAAACAAATACATGTAGCTTCATTCATGTGAAATGATTTCAATAAGAATAAGAATTCCAAACATAGTTTCTGTGTTTTTCTCTCCCAAACTACTTAAAATTCAAAACAAAACAATTAGTATCCTACTCTTTGAATTTGACTGATTTATGCATATGATATGTATTTGTTTTGATAAATAGCATACATTATCTTGTTTTCAGTGTTATGAGTTATTTGCAAAAAAATGGGAATGTAGGTTGCATCATTTTACAGGTAATAGTCATCTGTATTTTGATCCCTGTAGATTAAGCAAAACTGTATTTATTTGTTCAAAGTAAGTGTTGCCTGCAGAGACCAGTTGGTATTTGTATATTATACCTGCAGGTTTAAAATCTTAATGTTAAACAGTGAGAATTGAATATTCATTAAGATGGACACATCAAGTTCAATATATATATAAAATATTACATTTAATATGCCACTCTTCTTTTTCACCACCAGGAAAATCACAATAGTCGATCAGTGGTTCAAGAACAATGGGTACGACATTGATAAGATCTGGAGGGACATCCATGATGTGATCATCAAGACCTTGATCACAGCTCACCCTGTCCTGAAACACAACTACCGTACATGCTTCCCTAACCACATCAAGGGCAGTGGCTGCTTTGAGATCTTAGGCTTTGATGTCATGCTGGATAAGAAGCTCAAACCATGGCTAATAGAGGTGGGTTGATGGTCACAAGAAGCATCACATCACAAAGATCCTAAGTTGAACTTATCTCTAAGTTGGACTTAACAATTATGGAGAGCCATTAGCATCATTGAAAATATTTTGTAAAAGTTATTTTAAAAGGCATAAAATGTTGACTTAAATCTTTCATATTTTCTATTTTCAAGGAGATTCCATGTTCTTGATGTGCATTTTTTGTTTTTGAATATATTTTATTTGAAGGCTACAAATGGCTCTCCATAATTATTAAGTCCAACTTAGGGTTAAGTTCTACTTAGAATCTTTGTGAAACACCCCCCTGGATTCATCCAAAGTCATTCATGCAATCACAAACTTACACACCCTATCTCTGTAGTACAGACTTGCGAAATCAGTTTTTGAATCGTTTGTTTCCTATATGAGACAGGTCCCTATTCTCTAAAAGCCATTACAGTGACATTTTGAGGTCACAGAATCAAGAGATTTTTGGATGTCTCTGTGGTATTGGAAAATGTGATATTGTAATTTGAGAAGGATGAGAGCCTTATAATTATTGACTTTCTCTGCGTTCAGCAGCATTCAGTGATTTAATCCTTAATGGATTTTTATTTTCCATATGGCACTAAAGATGCCCTAGTGCAGTATGTGCAAAGTAGTTTTAGTCTGATTTTAATTGAATTAAATTGGTTTTATTTTACAACAGTTGTGATTGATCAAAAATGCATGTACAGCTCACAAGCAAATCTTATTTGCTATAAGTTGTAACTCTTAACATCGGAAATTGACAGTCATAAGTTCCGGGGGTTTGATTCAGATGCGACAGAAGCTTGCCGTACATTTGCATAAAGGGGAGGTGTTTTAAAGTAAGGTCGTTATTTCTGAGTGCTTGATAAGAAGTTTGTTAATCCTCTCTGAGATTCCTCATGAGTGCAAAACAATGAAATATCTGTATCCTGTGAGCAGAAGATATACAATTATGTATATTCTCTTCACACTTTGTAATTCACTGTAAGTCTCTTATAAACTGTTTTGATTTTAGGTCAACCATTCACCGAGCTTCCACACAGATGCCAAGCTAGACAAGGAAGTCAAAGAAGGTCTCCTCTACGACACCATGAACATCATTAACCTGACTCATTACGATAAGAAGAAATGCTTGGAGGAGGATCGCAAAAAGATCAAAGAGAGACTCCTGCAAAGGTCCAAGCCAAAGGAATTCAGGTATTGGAGAATTGTTTAGAATGTGTTAGTGCCTGATTTGGGGGAGCATCTGTGTCCTAGTCTGTATAAGAACTGGGGGTGTTTCACAAAGACTAAGATTGACTTTAAGTTGGACTTAACTATGGCAGGCCGTTCATGCCACTGTTTGCTCTCGCCATTTACTGGCAATAGTCTGTCAAAGGACGTACACATCATGGTCACACATCTACAGAATTTAGCTTTTTTGATAGTTCATTATTGAAGAAAAAATATTATCTAAAGATCATAATTAAGAGACCAATGGTGAGAGCAAGCAGTGGCATGAATGGCCTGCTCTCAACTAGATTACTCTTTCAAACTGTATTGCATAAAGATCTTGATAAGTTGTAAACTAGTAATGTGTTTACAATTTCACCAAGCACAGAATATATTTGCAGTCACTGTAGAAGATTAAATTAACAATGTGTTTTCACTTTTTCTAGAATTTATTGAATGGTGCGGGTCAAAACAATATAGAGATAGGGCAGAGAATGTTCAGCTAAGAATGTTTCACTACTGAAATTGAAAAACATTTATTCATTAGAGTGTGTTTTTTTTATCAAACACCATTCTAGAATCCTTAAATGTATATCAATATTGAAGTGAAAAGATAAGTCAAACCAAATTTTAAAAAGGTAGAGAACCTAAGGACTTGAATCAAATAAAACTCAAATGATTTAAGGAGAATGTGTCCTTACCATCTTCTGACCTTCATGCTTCTGACCTTCATGCCTCTGACCTTCATGCCTCTAACCTTGATGTCTCTGTTTCACTGTGTAGGAAAGAGGAGTATGAGGATTCCTATGACAAAGCAGCAGAGGCTCAGCTCAAGTATGAAGAGGGTCACTTAGGGGACTTCACAAGGATATACCCAGTAGAAGACTCTGACAAGTATGAGAAGTACTTCCAACACAGTGGCTCTCTCTTCCAAGAAACAGCAGCTTCCAAAGCAAGAGGGGAGTGTGCAAGGTAAGAGCCAAGAATGCCCGTATTAACCAGCATGTACATTTATGGTCCTTCAATAAAACAGAGTATAAAAGTCTTTTCACTGAAATGCAAGGTCATTGAATTGCTCAAATATTTTGTTTGATAGTATACAGAAAAAAAGACAAATTTTAATGTAGACTTTGGGGTTATGAGGTTTCCTAGACATTGATAGAATCAAAGAAATTTACTTCTTGTAGAAGAATATTTTGGAAGTTTTAGTTAAAGTAGAAAATATTTTCAAGTAAGGCTTTAGATCTCCCTCTTTTTTGATTGGAGGGGATGATATTCAGATAATTTCTGGCATTTTCTAAATTAGTAACGGTAACAAGAAATTTGCTAAATACTTTTGTTATTCTGGTTTCTTTTTAGTTCCATTGTGTGCCAGATGAAAAAAACATTTTGCATATCTTCCACTGACAGCTACCTGTTTAATTATATTATTATTTGAATGCCTGTAAGATAACAAATGTGAAAATGTGTCTCTTGTTTTCATCACCTAGGCTACAGAGGGAGGAGATACGTGTAAAGCAGGAGAAGCTAGAGATGATGCTGAAGAAGAAACCGAGTGAGAGGAAGGACTCTGGTGGAGTCAGACCAGAGAGTCCTAACGGTGATGGTAGAACCAGGAGGAGAGCTAGACCAACGGTGCCTCGTGTAGCGCTGGGCAAAAAACACTACTACAGATCACGTTCTGATGTAAGACTTTTTCATTTCTTAATAGTGATGTAAGACTAAAGGAAGAAATGTGAAATATATGTTGTGTTCTGGGCGTGTCGTAACCTTTCAACATTTGTAATTGAACTCTGACCAGAATTCACAAAGAAGGTTCATTTTAAACTATTGCTTTAATCTCAATCAGCGTAGGAAGCATGTAGCCTATTAGCCGTTGAACGGTTATGTGTGCTTATTAAAAGCTTGTTTTAGTCTATATGGTAAAGGTTTAAATCATAGGTTAGACCATGTTCCACATCTCAACTTACTTTGTGTATTTCGGCCTATGAGCGGGAGGTGATCCTTGGAGGTTTGCCATGGGGTAATTTGGTATAATACACACTTTGGCGTATACTCTAATAAATGTATTAGTCTACAGAAGATATCAAAATAAACTGTGTGTCTCTGTAAGTGGAAACTATGCATTCGATGTAACCTGTACAAAATATCTATTCTATTTTAGTGAGAAATTCACACTGTCTGTCCCACTGTAAACTACCAATGGCCCCAAACAATTTCATCCTTTTGCATCAAGGTATCTGAGCAGACTGTGTATTCCACTTTCTTTGCCCTTACCCTTCTAGGCTTACTATGACTACGAGGTGATCGACACCACCAAACCTCTTGACATTGTGGAGGAGGAGGAGCTGGAGAGGATCAGTGCCCTCCTCCAGAGAGATAACCTTGTCCGAGGGCTGGGCGTGGTCGAGCATGTCTACCGGCTACTACACTGTACTCCAGGCACAGTGGGTGTCATGAAGAATGCAGATAGGCAGCCAAATGTAAGTTCATGCCTTATTCTTCCACTGCACAGAGGCAAAATAGATCTTCAAATTGGCTGCATGGCCATACACTTCCTCTCTCTGACTCTTGAAATTTTCTAGCATGAAATATGAAACTTTATGGGTGGTATTCTCATAAGTTAAGCTGGGACTAAGTCCAGACTAAAAAAGAATTTTAGTTCACACCTCCATGGAATGCTAGGTTTCATCTTCCTCCTTCCAATATTCATGACAAAGATTATCTACCAAAGACTTTGTTGAAATTCAGTTCATACTCATTATCTTTTTCTTCCCATTTCATATCAATTTTTTTTTTTTTTTTTTTTTACACTTTACATTGCAGGATTAAAATAATCTGTAGGGTAAATGAGTTGGTAAAAGGCACTCCATAAACATGTGGACTAAGTTAAGCCAGGCTAGTACACACTATCGGAATACCACCCTACAAATATAATCAGTGATCCATATTCTTGAGAGTTACATACCATGAACTGATTGAAAAGCATCTTGAATCTTGGCAGTCCGTTAAATTTTGTTGCTGCAAAAATGACATTAAAAAATATATATATATATTTTGTTTTGAAATAACCTTTTGTAAATATGAATGTCTTTTTGAAGGTCATATCCTTCCAGTGTTTCTTTGTTATTTCAAAAAAAGTGATTTCACTTAAAGTTTGCCCAATTGTTTTTTTTTTCAAGGCACTCCTTCCACCAGTTCTCATGAAATACATAGCAAAGCCTTCACTTTTGATGTGATTGTTTATAAATTCCAGCTTTTCACTTGTGACTGTGGTGGAGATTGATTGGATTTTTCCACTGTGATGTGATTGCAAATATCTGGAAAAAATACAAGAAATGAAATTTTCTCTGTCTATTTAAATGTATGATATGCATAATCTCAATATTCTAAGTTAATATTAACTGCATGAACTTCTTGGTAAATCTGGTTAATTTAATATGTAACTTAAATTCTATTAGGTTGGAATCTGGTGAATTCATCTATCCTGTTGCACTACTTTACATTTTGTCAGGTCTCTTTGTGGCAACTGTCACATTAAATAAACTTTTTGCCGTCAAAACAAAATCAGCTCTTATTTGCATTTTAAATCTAACTGCAGCTTTTTGATACTCTTCATATTCAATTGTAATGACTAAGCAGGAATACCACCGACTAGCTCTCACATCATCTGTGCCTTACAGCAACAGTGTTCTTGAAAGGCGTATGAATACCTATCTCCATCTAGACACCCCTCCTTACCACAAAAGGTCAAATCATCCCTCTTATCATAAGAAGAGGTCTAGTAGCAAAAGCAGTAATACTGAAGCAACAAGACCCTCCCTTCTTCATGAAAATAAGACACCGGCTAGTAATATTCCAGAGGTATTCGCGTACAACATGCACAATCACTTGTACTATACTACAGAGATGCATGTGTCCAAACTTGAGACAGTGAGTGACCCGACGCTTAGTGGTCAAAGCACCAGTCGGTCAAAGCCCTTGCCCAGTCAGGACCCTCCTTCGCTAGCACCAGGGAGTGATCTAAGTAGGCGTGTGACAGAAGGGGGGAGATTAAAAGATAACTCAAAGGAAAGTGCGGGAAAGGATAAACAACGGAACAACAACAGCAGTCATCAGTCGTTACCAGAAATGCACAGTGTCTATCGCACGGACAGGACGTCACAGAGGCCAAACTCAACATGCTGGCCAAGACTGAGTGATGGTAGGGCGCGTGTGGTGTGGGATGAGCATAAGAAACCCAGTAATGCAATGAATGGTGTATTGACAGTAGAAGCCCTGAAGCAGTGGGTCCCTGACACCAAGCAGAGAGGAAGCACCAGTGAGATCATGACAACTGAACTCGGCCTCCAGTTCTTGAGCAGCTGTCAAAAGACTCTAGCAGCCAGACATGTCAAGGAGCTTGATGATCAGCAACATAGCATGTCCAGTGGATCAGTGAAGAAGAAACCAAGCGCTATTCCTCTCCTTAGCCTGAATAACCTTGTCACTAAGAAGAATCAGAACAACAACAGCAATGGATCCATGGAAGACTATCCACATCTGCCAGATACTTCATCAAAGACATCTTTAAGCCCTTTGAAGTATGTCTCGGGGACAGAACTCTTATTGGAATCTCTTGATGACATTGCATCAGCAGGAAATTCTTCAGTGAGAATGATGCATATGTCTGAAGATTTCAAGAGAAAGACTGATATGGGAGAGGAGGTGCATGGAGCTCATAGAAGTCTTAATGACATAGCATCAGCAAGAAATCTTACAGAAAGAATTCCTCATCAGGGGGAAGAGTCTATGAGTAAGACAGATCTAAGAGAGGAGGAGCATGGAGCTAAGAGAAGCCACTCACAAAGATGGGGCAGAAAACTGCTTGTAGCTCCTAAACAGCAGAAATTTGACAGCCCCTGGAATGATAAAGAGGAGGTAGAGATCAAATGTTCTTGTTCAGAGTTGACAGTTCAGAGTTGATACTTCAGAGTTACACTGCAAAGTGTCATAACTAACAGTCAGTTCTGTTTTCAAAGTTCATCTTCACTCTTAAATTTGCTAGACAGATGGAACTCTCGGCTTCAGGTGATGTTTGATGTCATATGGAGACGATGGAAATCACTGGAGGATTTCATAGAATTCGATTTCAATTTTAATTTTCTTTTCTTTTTCTTTCAGTTTCATATTTGAATATTATTGTTATGCATGTCAGTTAACATGTTCTTTTAAACATGGGAACATTATGTCCGTTGAGAGCGAGAAGGGCATTATACCCTGTTTACAAGGACACTATATGACTTAATGCCTTTCTCACTCTCAGCGGGCCATTGCTATTTTCATTTTTCTTCATGACACGGCGGAATTACACCTGCACGCACAGGTTTCAATTGACGATGCAAATTATGTGGTGGGACATGTATTTCTACTCTTTTTCTTTCTCACTCTCTATTTTTGATTGTGTAGTATTCTGCAACCTCAAGGAATTTTCAGAGCCAGGGTCTGGGTCTGAGTCAAAGCAATTCCTTATCACAGCTGATGGGGCACAATGACCCTGCATGGTGTATACCAAATGTGCAACCATTCAGTGAAAAGGTGACCTTTGCTATTTCTGGTAGCCCAGTTTGCACATAATTGTGGTGGTTTGGTGCAATTTTACACATTTTGCACAGATCCCGCACCCCATGAAGACCCAAGAAAAGCAGCACTTGCATTATCTGTAATCACATTCGTACCTTTTTCCACAACCCATAGTGGCATTCAAAATGTTTTGTGTTTTGCTGTATAATTTCATACAAATTAATTTATCACTGTTACATGGTTAGTATTAAACTACCAACCCCCTTCCATATCATGCCCCCCCCCCCTCTTCTCCCCAGGTCATAACTGCACCAACATTTGACATCCAGTCAGAATGCACTTCTAATTTTTGTTTGCTTTTCATATTTCGTATTTGTTTATAATTAATTTATCACTTTATGGGATGATATCTAATTATATTAAACTAATCTGTATTTTTTTGTTCGATATTTCTAACCCTGATAAACAATCAAGTATTACCCCTTGAATTATTTGTTATAAAAGCATTATGTTGTGCTGTTTTGCTAAAACACTAATAATCGTATTTACCTTGACTTATTCTCTTTTTATGCCTCCGTTACGAAGTAGCCGGAGGCATTATGTTTTCGGGTTGTCCGTCCGTCCGTCCGTCCGTCCGTCCGTCCGTCCGTCCGTACGTCTGTACGTACGTCTGTACGTACGTCCCGTTCTCGTGATCACGTTATCTGAAGAACGGATCAATGGATTCCTACCAAACTTTGGTCATATATGTATCTAGCAAAGTCGATGAACTGATTAGATTTTGGGGTCACGAGGTCAAAGGTCAAAGGTCACAGGGCTCATTATGTATGCAAAAACAGCTCGTGATCGCGTTATCTGAAGAACCGATGGATGGATTCCTGCCAAACTTTGGTCATGTATGTATCTTGTAGAGTCGATGAACTGATTAGATTTTGGGGTCACGAGGTCAAAGGTCAAAGGTCACAGGGCTCATTATGTATGCAAAACGGCTCGTGATCGCGTTATCTGAAGAACCGATAGATGGATTCCTGCCAAACTTTGGTCATGTATGTATCTTGCAGAGCCAATGAACTGATTAGATTTTGGGGTCACGAGGTCAAAGGTCAAAGGTCACAGGGCTCATTATGTATGCAAAAACAGCTTGTGATCGCGTTATCTCAAGAACCGATTGATGGATTCCTGCCAAACTTAGGTCATGTATGTTACTTGCAGAGCCGATGAACTTATTAGATTTTGGGTAACGAGGTCAAAGGTCAAAGGTCACAGCGCCCATTATGTATGCAAAAACAGCTTGTGATCGCGTTATCATTAGAACAGATTGATGGATTCCTGCCAAACTTAGATCATTTATGTATCTTGCAGAGCCAATGAACTGTGTAGATTCTTGGTTCATAAGGTCCAAGGTCATGGGCTCATTATGTATGCAAAAATAGCTTGTGAACGCATTCTCATTAGAACTGACAGATGGATTACTATTTAACTCTGGATATCTTGCAGAGCCAATGAGCTGAGTAGATATTAGGATCATGAGGTCAAAGTTCAAAGGGTCATATATGTATATGAGAAATTGTTTGTAATCACGATATTCTGAGAACCTGTTAATGGATTACAATTGAACTTGAATTTGAAAAATTTCTTCTGTTTTGGTTTGTAAAATTGCTCTATGACGGAGGCATCATTTTCGACTGCGCGCAGTCGAATTCCATCTAGTTTTAAAGTATTAAATGTTAATATCCCGTTTGTCTAACCTCTTTTGACTGTTATACATGTGTTGCTTTTGCTTTTATCTTAACAAAAACCAACTTCTCAGTATCTTGTAAATGTTTTTTTTTTTTTTTTTAAACTTTATGCAAATTATGCAAGGCATATTGTCTCTTTGGAGCCAGGACATAAAGTCATATAATTCAATAGAGTTAACGTCCTTTTGGGTCTGAAAAGACCATATCATTAGTAAAATACAGTACATCTAGTAATGGCGTTACAATTGTATTTGTTATATATATTCTTGCGTATACCTACTAAAGTTGAATTTAATAGTCAATCCATATTCTTGATTTAAAAAAATAGTTTCCTCAAATAATGAAATAGAAAAAAGTCTTAAGTTCTAATGAAATCATCTCCAAATGGCAGCCATAACAACTTTTCTATAAAGTTTGTAGCAAATTAGCTGAAATGATTTTATTTGATAGTGTGATACCCAACTAATAATTTTAATGCCATATATTTTTCCAGACACAAACTGTAAACTACAATGTCCAAATGGCCAAAACCCAACCCCAACCTCCAGGGGGAATACCCTGGCCCAACACGTCCGCTGGTCGTAACATCCGTACCCTCAGCCAACACGGAGACCAGCCAGGAATGATCAATGGGGCTGGCATGGCTCCCAACCTCTCTGGTCAACGACAGAGGTTCCCATCGCGCAAGGGTCCCGGTTCCCAGCACACTGTCAATAACTTGGTGATTGCCGAACAGGACTTCCAGAATCTATCACTTATGGACAATGAGAGTTTACGGGGTAGACATGGCAATATGAACTCTACAGCAGCTGCTGCGGCTGCTGCTGCGGCCATGGGACATGGTGATTGGAGGATCATGGATGGGGGATACTCAAGAAGGATACTGAGTGCAAATAATGGACAAAAGAGAGAAACAGGTAGATTCAATATGTTTTTATACAGATTTGTGTTACTTCCACTTTTTATTTACTATTTTCTATTTGAATTTCAAACTTTGGTGGTGCATAGGGCTAGAATTTCCTACTATGGCTAGGCACAAAATTACATTTCTCACTCTTCAACCAGGCGAAGGAAATTTTTATTTGATAAGAATTAGTTTAAGTGCTTAAGATGAGGGCATTGTAAGGCATCCACAAGAAAACTATTAATATTCATGAGACTGCTCTTGCTAAATATAACTATATTATTATTATTGTTATTATTATTATTATTATTCTTATTGAAATAATTTAATGGGATCACAAAGTTTTAATGACAACATTCAGAAAATATATGTCTTGCAGCTTTAACGTGCTAGGTGTTTTCTGAGCAATTTAGTGTGTATAATGCCTCCTTAAATGATCTTGGAACCTTGGAATTCCATGCAATTCTATTTAATGAAATGCTGGGACCCCTGTCGTAACATTTGTGTATTCTCCCATCAATCATAACAAAATCATTCTTACTGTACCTCTCAATGAACTAAACAGGAACAGTGCAAGTACGGTTGAACACGAGAGGAGGGGGAGGAAACAACCTTAATACCACCACGCCACCTCCAGGCCTGTATGCTGCCAACAATAACTTCCCTAACCTTCTCAAAGTAGGACCTACAGGTGCCAATACTTCATCAGGTAAGAGTCTACTCATATCAGTCTCATGCAGTTCTAAAAACCAGTATCCTCAGAGGAATGTGGTGCTGTGAAAAGATATGTCTGTAATGCAAAAGGTGCAGTAGATTAAGTAATGTTGACAGTGAATTAAAAGTTGTAATTCAACATATCTGAATGAAAAGCCAGCTATATGAAAGTGTTATTAAAGTTTATAAAATGGGTTCAAGAATGAAGCCAATGAGAAGCGTCAAAATGAATCACGTGTGCGTGCATGGGGAGTGCACGGGAGTGCATTTTGGTAATAACAACCATGCAAAAACGGTGCAACAAAAAGGCATAATGCATGCTGCAAGAAGTTGCACCATGCAATGCAGTTTGTTTACGAGGCCACTGCTGCGCTGTGTGCACACTGTATTTGTTATGAAGGTTGCAGGTGTACAGTGTTATCATAGTGAATACCATAGTGAATGCCCTCATGCCCTGCATCAACCGTAACACACTCACACCTATGTGTATTTACTAGCTGCATATCCTAACAATGGTTCTAACTCTGTAATATAATTTTTTTTTTCATCAAAAAATTGCATTCTGCACATGTTTTAATGCCACTGCGTTTCACTAAGCTCTCCTATATTAAGGGATAACAATAAGGAGGCAAGGGGGACAAAACATTGGGATGGAGAGCAAATTAGCTTTAGAAAGCTCAAAAAGAGATTAGGAATGAACCCCCCAAAATCCAAGAGAGGTCACCCCTAGATCCCATTTTAAAAATTGCTTTAAAAACTGACATAAAAACTGATATCAAAAAGGTGACATTGTAAAGATTAACAACAATAGTCAGTTTTAGTATAGTTTTGAGAAAATGATTATGCTGTCACCAAAAACAATGTGAGTACAGAAGTATGTTGTAAAGATAGGGAAAATATGTATCTCTCCTGAAGGGCCATTAAATATTGTCAACCAAGCAATCTTAATTTTCCATCTAGGATAAAGAAAGAGTAATATTAAATGGGATTTATGCACGGGTCGTCATGATGAAGATCTAAAGTCATAGACTATCTCACAAGGAAATGCTTCAGACATTACTGTTTTTAATATAACTATTTGGCCGTCTGTCTGTCTATTTGGAAACAATCTTATTACTAGGAACCAATGAAAAGATTAACCAACAAGTATATTTATAGTCATTGAAAAGTAAAAATCAGATTTAGTATAAAGAAATCAGAGATGATCTACACATATGAAGCTAATAGCCCTAGTATATGGGGGTGATTATTTTACCTGACTGCTAAGTAAGCATAAATGCTTGTAGTAAGCAATCAGAGGACCTACAGCTATAGGTCCTCTCTGAGAGACCTGGTAATGAGGATTAATGCCTTACCAAAGGGCACTAGCGCGTCGACTTGGTTTCGAATCCGGGTTGCCGGATTACGAGACCACTGCTCTACCAACTGAGCTATCGCGCCTCTACAAGCCCTAAAGCCCTCTTTCTCACTCCATGCAGGTGCAATGATCAATCTGTCTGTAGTGTCTGGTCCAGCTCCTGTGGTACAGAGACCAGACCTGGGGAGTGCAGGAAGCATTAGAGGAGGAGGCATCAGCAGAGACACAATCAGCAGTGCACCAGATCCACATAGTCATTTAAGGTAGGCAACATGAAGTGATCATCTGTTTAATGCCACACTGTACTACTTGTAGCTACTTGCTCCCTCTATATAGAAAACAATGCCTAGTCGGTGACCATTGGTCCCCCATGATCCTCTTTTTCTGATGTTAATTGAGAGCTGAGTTGATGAGATAACCACCTGTCCAGTGACCTTGCAGGGTGGTCTAATCCCTCCTATAAACTAGTACAGATGGGCTTTAATGCCCTGACCCAACCACTCTCCAAACGGCCCACCTTACTTCTCCATGAAGAAGCACCCATAGACTTTGACCTGCAAGACTACAAAGTACAGCATCTTGCAGGATAGTATTTTTTCAATTTTGGGATCCTCCTGTTTGATTATGAACAAAAAGTAGAATTACTGTTGAAATGTTGTGAATTTCTAATTGAAACCAAGCAAAATAGTTAGCAATTTAATGTTTCGGCAGTGAGTAAATGGCTACAGCCCACATAATGTGAATTTGCTAACTGATTAACAGGAGCTGTCAACACAGTGCTGGTGCTTGTGGTTGAGCATAGAATGCATAAGAATCCCATAAAGAGTTTGGCAACACCAATATCTCCTTCCTATCATTTCCCATACTAACTATAATACCTTTTGAAGAATGACCTAGCATAAATTGAAGCTGTGCTGCATCCATACAAATCCCTAATATCTAATATCGGCATACAAATAGGCCCTAACTCTCTCGGTGAACAAAAATCTCTTGTAGTTGTTTGTACAGATTACAACTACCACATGAATTGTGTTCTGATGGGGCCATCATTTTTTATTGTGAAGGAAACAGTTAAAAGTGCAATATCTTCACCTTTTTCATGGCAGAATCACACTAAAAGCCTTTGATGCTTCAGCTGTAATGCAAGTGAGGACATGGTTTCATGTAGTCTCCTTGTGATGTTCGTACGGGGGTGCTGTTCTTTAGAATATGTAGTTTTCCTATTAAAAGTGTGGGGGAAATTTTGATAAAAGTAACTAGTCGAGTGGTGAGCTTTTGATGATTTGTTGCGTAGCTTGATGCGGACACAGGACACTAACCAGATAACATAATGCTTGTTCAAAATGATGAGGAAGGTTGTTTGTTTTTGTTCTTCGTGTCTCTCTGACCTTCATCGGTTGGACATCTATTAGAAAGGAAATTGATTTGTTTGTTTGTAGTATGCAGCTAATTTACTCCTTATACTGATAACACTTTGCTGGATACGAATCATAAGGGCTTATTCCCATATGATGCGGTACATGGCTGTGGTTTTATACTTTGATACTTTGACATGTAAGTTGATGGCAAATGGGGATGAAAAATCAGCATTTGTGCACAACAAAGGTCCTATACATACTTATTTATTTGTTGTAAGATAGGGAATTATGAAGTACACTTTGCTTAATATCTTGCCCAGACAGTTTACTGGGAAATACATGGAAATAGTGGCTTTTCTTAGCATAATAGAACTAAGTGGCAACTAACAACTAAGCTAAATAAATCAGTCTTGTTTTTCAAATTAACTGGGAATAATGTACTTATTACACCCTATTTTCTCTGTGATGCTGCTTTAATCAGAGATCCCATTTCATATTGAGTTTGGTGGAAGCTGTATTAGACTTTTTACTATTGTTGAATTTTAACATTTGAAAATTTTTAACAAATAATAACGTAATAACCAGAAATGCTCAACTAACCAAAGAAGAAGTCTGGGATTTATCTCGCATGGACCCCAAGTCCCCGGTTTATCGCACCTTGAGTGGCCTGCTCAAAGACAAACACAAGAGACGTATGTCATTAGACTTTACCAAAGAAAAATCCCCATCTTTTAACACTAATTCATAAAAGCATGCATATATTAGAATGCAGTTCGCTAGTAGTTAGTAGTGTGTGAGAAAAAGTAGTATGTAGACATTGCTGTGCGGCAGCATGACTTCGTCAATTAACTTTCCAGCTGTTTTCTCTGTATCTTTTCCGTTGGGGCTGTAATTATACTCAGTGTTATGGGGAAGATCTCATGTTGTGACCGCCTACAGAAAAGTGTTCACTCACCAACATAGCGGGGAAAAAATATTATGTATGACCAAATTTTCTTTGAGATTCCCATGGTTATTCAGGGATGTTTGACTTTCAAAATTTTCGAACCCTAATTTCATTGTTATACCTGTAGTACATTATAAGATGATGACGTGGATCCTAATCAAATGTTTGGTTGAAAGTGTACACGTGACCAGGCATTTATTTTGCCCAACGCGTAATCGCGCGTAATTTGGGTAATGACCGGTCATTATCCAATGGTAATGACCGGTCATTATCAAAATCATGTTAAAAAACATCATTTTATAAAACAAATGAAACATAATCTTATAAAACACCTCGGGCGTGTTAGACTGTTCCAAAGGTACCTCATGTGGGTAATTCTTACTAATGCCCTCACTGATGTGGATTATTTGTATATTGTCTTTAAATAGTAAACTTCTTCAGCAATTTTGTTTATATCTTTCTCAAAATATATCTCTCTGTTTTGTATTCTCTGCTTCTCTATGTCTATCTTTCTGCTTTCCTTCTTTTTAAAGGAAGTTCTTTCCAAAGAATTAAGCATTTTCAATTTATATTTAATTTTGTTCTATCATTTCTTTTTGGGTAGTTGTTATCAAGAGTCAAAAGAGAGAGATCTGAAGATATATAATAATAATACATCATTTATTATGCGCCATCGATCTAGTAAACTATTCTGTACATCACGTTTCTTCAAAATGTTTAATGTATCGTTTATAAGTGGAGTTTGTACTGCTCACAGACAGCCACAGAGGGAATTAGTACGACGACTGATCAATGCAATTTTCAGGGTGAATGCAATTCATAAAGATGCATTTACAATGTACGTAAGCTTAGAACTGACAAGCAAACATGCACACAAAAAAAGACAAACAAAGGACAAAATAAAAAAATAAAAAAGAAAGAAACTATCTCTGTACATCATGTTTCTTTTAAATGTTAGAAACAATGTATCCTTCGTAAATGAAATTTATAAATGCACTGCTCACAGACAGCCACAGAGGGAATTAGTGAGATGATTGATCAATGCAATTCAGGGTGAATGCAATCTGTAAAAATGCATTCACATAAGATTAGTACTGACAAGCATGAAAGAAAAAGAGAAAAAAGAAAGGACAAAATAAAAAATAAAGAAAGCAAGAAACCCTGGATATATTCTTAGTCCCCATGTAATGCCTCCAAGCAGAGTCCGTTCAATGCACATCATGTCTCTTGCTCTTTCTATAGTTTTTGCCTTCATCTAGGTGTAATAAATGTAAATGAATGTGCTGTGTGATGCAATTTTCTTCTTTTGCAAAGTAGTACAAGACACAAAAAATGAAATGAGATTTAATCCATTAGGAGAGAGTCATTTGTTGTAATTTGATTAATTTGATTGTATTAGAGTGGACCCTCCTCTTTTGGTTAAATAATGATCAATCTTTTATTGCTATAATGAAAATGAATGGTGTCTGATGTACTCTTATTTCCTCACTAACATTGAAAACATTAACAAATTTTAGTTTTTCTTTGTCTAACATTTTCAAATTAACAATATTTTTGTGTTTGATTATAGCGAAATCATCATGCATGCATGTAGTTGACTGCATGGTTTAGGTGTTGGATATTGAATATATTGTGCCCTATAGTGTGTTCAAACAAGGTGTAGTTCGGTTGTCACTATGAAGATTACACATTTTCGTTTATTTTCAGGTCAACAAAATCGCAAAGAATAAGAGGAGCTTCCAACACACTTAGGCTGAAGGTATGAAAGTATTTTATTTTTGAAAATACTTTTTTTTATTCCTTCATTTTTTGTACTAATGTATCAAATTTCGGAAATGTAAACGAGCATGCTTTGTAATTCTATCTTCAAAGGCAGAGCTGCCAACCATTCCGTTTTTGCCGGAATTACTCGTTTTTTCCTCCAAATTACGGTATTACGTTTTTTCTTCAGAAAATATGTTTTTTTTTATTTTTTATTTTTTATTTTTTTACATATCACACGTCAAATATCACACGAACAAATTCAATAGAAAACTAATTTGAAAACATACTTGAAAACATACTTAAAGAGAAAAATATTCTCAAAAAGAATGAAATGCCGATAATACTAAAATAACCAAAACAAAAATACCTGCTTGTATGGAAAAAACAGCATGAGGAATGAACATTTCTGCGTTGGAAGTGTGTGGCGCGTGGTTGTAAGTTTCGTCTTCATGAATTCCTTTTTTTTGCTTGAAATTCCTTTTTTTTGCCATCATGATTCCTTTTTTTGGTCGCACAAGGTTGGCAGCTCTGCAAAGGTGATCTTTTAGACTAAGGTTAATGCCTTTTAAACTAAAATCATTTTCTTTATAAATGAGCAAGAAACATTTGGGATTGCATTTTTCCTAATTTAAAAAAATTATCCTGGGAATAAATATATATGAAAAGAAAACTATTTGAAAACATGAAGTGGGGTAAGTTGCTAGGATAGAGTAATTCAAGAATGCTAATATGCATGCTCCAAAGGAAACTATTCACCAATTTTCCTCCTCTCTCCCTCTCTCCACATTTTCTATCTCTCTCACCCACCCCCTCCTCCCTCCCTCCCTCCCTCTCTCTCTCTCTCTCTCTCTCTCTCTCTCTCTCTCTCTCTCTCTCTCTCTCTCTTTCTCTTGGTTTTATTTCACCCCACAGCAACTAGAGCTTAGAGAAACCCATGCAGTGGTGTTGAGTTGACATCATCATAGAGACTTGTAGAGCCATTACAGCAGTCTCCATAGGAACGTGGTTAATGTAGCATACGGACTGCAGAGCAATGGTTGTCAGAGCATATACCATAGAAGCGTCCAGCCTCGTGGCCTGTCTGTGGGGTACGATGCTGTGGAGGTTTGGGTAGAGGCAAGACCACTGTTGGTACCTTAAAGTAGTCACCCAAAGAAAATTCACAACAAGTGATATTTATGGACAAATTATATATGGATGGACAAATTTCTTTTGAAAAACATGAATAATTTGCTGAAAAGTCATATAGATTGATATCATGGAAAGGCATTACATGCAATTTTGTGGCTGGCTGTGTCCTGCATGTGATGTCTTGACGCTCTACGGGGGACAGCTGAAGGCAGAACATCTGGATCTCAAAATTAACATTTTGAGAGATGATCACTGCGGGCCCCAAACATATTTTGAAGAGGGAAGTTGTTATATTTTAATCAGTAAGGCTTCCCCTTTGCAATGATATGAATTTTGCATCAATTCAAAGCACTTTTTATTCTTTAGGTGACTACTCTAAAGTTATTGTCATGGCCAAGATGTAAATTCTTTACCAGGGCTTGACTCTAACAGGGCTTGACTGTTAAAGGAACCAGAGCACATGGGCCCACACATTTGCACACATGATCCCCTGTGGACCAAAGTAACTGTTGAGCCCTGTATTCACTGATGTATCACTGATACCTAATATGCACCATGTTGCTTTCATCACCAGAATCTATTGCCTTGTCCACAGCCTTGAAAGATAGTAGAATTATATGTATTTATAGAGATTAATATAAAGCATTCCATTAGTTTGTTTGGAATTCTCTGTGTAACTGAAGCTGTTTTTTTTTGCACGTGTAGGGGAGCGCTTATTGTGTTTTTTGCCTGAATGTAAATCTTTACTTTGAAATTGTATGGCATCACTCTACTCAGACATGCCAATATTCAGTACAAATTTTTTATCAGGTTTATACAAGATACTGGCAGATGTGAGAGTTATATTACATTGGAGACAAAAATTGTGTGTATACATCCAGGGGTAAAATGTAGTAGACAACATTGGTCAAGGGTATGAATTGTGTATTCAATCACAATGCCAAATCCTGCAGAGAAGCCTGCCTGTCTTTCGAAAAATTAGGGTTGACCAAAGAATAATTGGGGAAAGGGGGGGGGGGGGGGGGGAGAGTCAGCGACTGTAATATAGCTATTTCGTTTAGAATTACTTGTAGTTTGGTAAATTGACGAGTGCATTTCAACCCTAAGTTGTATAAGAAAATTAAGGATGGGAAAAAGATTATAGATATTGAAACAACTCCATGCTACATTGTGTTAAACTTTTTCAAGTGTGGCAAGTACACATTCTGTATCTATAGCACAGTTTTATAAAATTCTTAGTCTGGTGAAGGATTCATATTCTTTCTTCATAGTGTCAAATACAATTAAAAATGAAATATATAGCTGTTTGCCTGTGAAGAGCTCATGCTTTTAGATGACTTTTATTTTGGAACAGTTTTTTAAAAGGTTAATATTCATGAAATGCAACCATTAAGATTGTCTGGCTTAGATATCTATGAATATTCAACAACAAAGTCGTCAAACAGGTTTATCCTGTCACTAGCACCTCCAGTTGGGCCATGACGATCGGGATTAAAAGCTGGGAAGATCTAGCGAAAATACGGGAATGCTTGAAATACACTATATTAGACTATCAATATTTGTTGGACTTTAGTATACAAAATTGCAGATATTTGATTTACTCAGATGTGTTTTTGTTTTACATGTCTTCATTTTGTCTGATATATTTTTTATCATCCAATATATCCATTTCAACCATAACAGCCATTGAAAGAGATTGACTTCCATTTTGTTCATATTCCTTCTTATATGGAGTGAGAAATGTTGTTGTTCTTCTTAGCCTTATTACAAGATTACCAACCAACCAAAGAATCACATTTACCTTGTATCAATATCTAATAGTTACACTAAGAAGCTGCTGTCTTTCAATCTAATTAATTACTGTAATTTTATGCCATTTAGGCATCAGTTGGAGATAATGTTGAGCATCTATTTGGTACTCAACAGTTCAACCATCTGCCTTTTTTAAAAGAATTTTAAATTTAAAGAATATTGGATAGATAAAAGTCCAAGTCGTACCAGTGTTTCTGCTTATACGTTAAATTCATTGTCATGCAATGGATTTTGAAATCTACATGCAGCATCTCCAATGTCATTGCTTGGTAATGTAAAGAGTCATCCTGCTTTGCTATACTTGTATGCATGTCAGAGATGTTTCTTTACTCTGCAGGTTTCCTAAAGAGTTAGTCGTGAACAATGTTGATGTATTGTTTGACTTTCTAATACAAAACAAGTTTGGAAACTCAAGTGTGATCAATTATACCTCTCTTGTCATGCAATAATTATCACTCTGTTTAGTTCGATTAAAAAGTACGTTTTCACAATTGACCTTGATCCTGATTTTGATGTAATGCACATTCCGTGACTGAAAAATCATAACAAATGGGGTATCATTTTAAAGAGGAATAAAAACACTTTCATACTCGTACAAAGCGATGATTATGCCATAACTAGAGAGATATAATCAATCACACTTCAGTTTCCAAACTTTTTGTGAGGGCTTTAAAATGAGTTATGGGTGTATGACAATAGTGTCAAATCTGTTTCACTTCACTTCAATAGTTAATGTTACTGTGCACTTGATTAGGTGTAAACAATGATTGAATTATTAATATTATATGTACCGGTATGTAGATTTCATCATTCTCTGTTTTAGCAGCAGATCTTCAACATTACCAAATATGTCATTAAAAGATATTGAAATAATGTGTTATTGTATTCCCATCGTAACAATACTCCATCCATATTCTTTCCAATTGTGCCTTGTTACTTTATTTTTGTATACCCTTCAGTTTTGAATATTTGACAAATCTTGCCAATATTGGAGTATGTGGTGGTTTTCCTTTGTAACGTATATATCCGTCCACAGAATGCATGTTGTATTTTGCATCGTTACAGTATTGCAATTTTCATTCATGTACAGATATGTTTATTAATCTAAAGAGTTGTGTATAGGTGTTGTAATCATCATGTATGCATACGTTGTGTGAATTTTTATTTTGTTTTTATATTTTTCGAAAAGAATAGAGTTAAGCCATATTTGGTATATTGTTATGCCGTTTACATGAACATGTATGTTTATTTGCCTGTGCAGTTATAGGAAAGAATATAGAGATCTATGTATTGATATTAAGACTATATAGTAAGAACACCCTCACTTCCTTTTTAGTCAACCAAACATAGATTTGTAAGAAAAAAACAATAAGTAGTTAAATAGTACTACTATCAAAGTTGAGCAGGTTTTGTATAATTTACAGAAGGAGGGCCCTACATGTACAGTACATTTCTATTTTCTGGTACTCCAACGCATAGTCAAATATTAAGGTTATTTGCTGCTTTGGTTTTACCTAACTTCTAAGAAAGTTAGTACACGCTTGTAATTGTGGAGCAACGACTTCAAGTCTTATCCAAGGAACTAGGTAATTAATTTCTTAACAAACAGCAATTGCACATGGACATGGTTTAAAACGGGGAACACATTTTCTTTTGAAATAATGTAAAATTGATGTTTGTTAAGTGATCAAGACTACAAATATACTAGCAGCCATATACTTGAGTAATGAGCAAAGACAGATGCATTTTTGACTTGCATGTAAACTACTCTGTGTGTAATGGAAGCCTTGCTAAAGTCAGGGTAATGACATGATTGTAAATGCAAACTCTAAATGCAGTTCCATTGCTAGAACCCAAGACTAATTGTAAACATTAACAAATATTGCAATAGTTTTATACATTTAAAACCAACTTACCTATTTTCCCCTTTTCCTATCAGTATAGAATAAAGTGGATAAACAGTGTTATTCTTATGCCATTATTTGCCTTGGTTTGGGCAGCGTAAATGGCACTTTATTTGATGCATTTGTTAACACTAAAAGCTTAAACAAACACTGCATATTTCCCTCTTGTTTGTGTTTGTTTGTTTTGGGTGGTTTTGAAAAATACTTTATAGTAGTTCAGCCAAACATTTAAAAGGTTCTAAAAAAGTTTTTTGTGGCATTTTAGGGTAATACATGGCATTCATGCTCAAACTCTTACAAATGTATTAAGGATTAAGAAACAGTTGGATGCTATGCACAATTCTTTTTACTAAAAATGTCATTTTTGTGAGAATTGCCCCATACGGTACATGTAAATGTACAAATAATTTTTTTCACTCAAATGTTCATCCTGTAAAAAGACATCTAGTCATTTGGGATAACAACATTTTTATCCATCATATTAATTGATCATTTCTTTTCTTATCAATAAAAATTGTTTTAATGGACAGATTTATTGTGTTTAAAAAACTTTGAAATATGATTATCAGAATCTCATAAAATATACTGAGAAAGTCACACTTATGTTTCATTGCTCCATACATATATACAAAATATCAAACTTTCATTATGTATTAAACAGGTTTATAACTACAAACTCACAATGAAAATTATATCAATTGAAAGGTCTTTCTCAGATAAAATATATTCAGTCATAAAACCAACAACAACAACAAAATCAGGATGTTTTTCTTTAGTACTTTTGCAAGAGTTTTAGCATGGATGCCATGCATCACCCCCAGAATGCCGCCCAAACTATTACAAAAACAATGTCACGTTTTGGCTGGTCTACTGTTATTTCTGACTTTGATATCCTAGATTGTGAAATGTAGTATTATTACAATGCAAATTATAAATAAAGGATAAGTACAATATTTGTATGGTAAAAAGAGTGCACAGGCTCTCATCAACTTGATTTTCTTGATGAGCTCTCCTGAGATTTTAACAAAGAGACAAGAAATATTTATGTTATTAATGAAATTCAGAATTGCCCTTTTTACATCAGTACATGTATGTACTGGGAATATACACATTTGAGTTGATTCGCTCATTGTAAAATGCAGAGTTTGTGTGTTGGTAGTCACTTTAAATGAGATTAGGTAAACACAGTAAAAGTATTTGTAGACAAAATTGTAAATTACTGTTTTAATGAATTTTAAAAAATTAAATATTTCAATGATATTAATTGATACATAATGAGTGTCATTTTCAGGGATATGGTTCTCCCCATTGTATATTGCAATTATAAAGCCTTATTACTGCAAGAAAATAAATGGATGATTTATGTGAAGCTGTAACCGTGAATATATGACATTTTCCTTTTTTATGTGTACTTCATACGGACCATTCTTTAACTTAAAGTTTACCAACACAAGTGTGGCTAGGAGGGATTAGACCACACAGCGAGGTCACTGACAGGTGGCTATCTCATCAACTGAGCTCTCAAATAACATAAGAAATAGAGGATCATGGGGGACCAACAGGCACCGATGGGGGAAGTTTTCTATATAGAGGGAGCAAGTAGCTACCAGTATGGAATAGCTCAAGAGCAAACACGATCTTAAGCACTACATGGAATCAACTGCAATTTCTTTGTATTACTTAAAGAAACGATATTGATAGGGTCATCACTTATGGGGAAGTTCAACTTATTTTCAGGAGGCGATACGCCATAAAATTAGAGCCATTGATAGGCTTGAAAGTATTTTTGACCTTTGTAAACAAAAGGTTGTCAGTCAGTAAGTATCAATGACAAAACAAGATGAATGAAAGTACAACTCTTCTACTCTTTAAATTGAAATAAAAAGAGGGGAAAAGGAGAATGGCTTTACAAGACGAGTCGGTATCCCTGTTAGTAGTCAGGCGACAGATATACGATCGGACATCTTCCCAGACTTAAAAAGGTCATGCACGTATACGATTGAACCATTCGTGTAATAATAAAGGACTTCCAGATTTTTTTTTTTGGATTTTTTTTTTTGGAGGGGGGGGGGGGTGTAATTTATTTGTTTTATAATGCTATTTCTGCAAATAACTTGTAGTCAAGTCGTAAAGAATGCAAGGGCTTTAATTTTTACTTCAATATACCAACAATGGGGGGGGGGGGGGGGGGGGGCTTGTTTCTTGATGTATGGAATGAGAATGAACAACAGGGTCATCGATTAGAGGAAGTGTGTTGGAGGGGATACTAATTGTTATTAGTTATTGTACAGCGCTTCATACTACACTGGCGCTCCACAATTATTAACAAGGCTTTTGCATGGCTTCCATTGTGGAATTAATCAAATTCTCTTATTTACCTCACCTGGTGGAAGGAACCGCGAACCATAATTCACAGTCCAGTGACGTACATTTACCCGCTAGACAACATCAACTCCACATATCTGTTTTCTCTCCCGACACCCCCCCCCCCCCCTCTCGTTCCTTTTTTCATTTGCTCATTTAATGTCCCGTCGCCCTCTGTCCATGTACCTACGCCACTTGTTAATGCTGTAGTTTAGTATGCACCCTTTGTGCAATGTAAGGATATTAAGCTTCCCAAAGAGTGTTAATCAGTTATTTAGTATATTAAAGAAAAAGGGTTTCCTAAGCGTAGTTAGGCATGCCTTTGTAGGGGCATCGCTAACACAAACAAACACAAACAAACACTTAGCATGGGGAGGATTGTCGATTGAATTAAACATGTTCGAACAACGAACACAACAGCTACACAACGAATAGTCCTGAAAGTTTTGGCTTTAGACACATTTATTGAAATAGAAATAGGAATGGTAATGGGTGTAGACGGTTGGGGGTCACGTCTCTGTCACAACCCCTGTCCATATGGTGTTTCAAGAAGTTATCTTAAAGCCCCACTGCATTACTTGTAGCTACTTGCTCCCCCTATATAGAAAAGATTGCCTAAGCGGTGCCCGTTGGTTCCCCATGATCCTCTTTTCCTTATGTTAATTGGAAGCTGAGTTGAGGTGACCTTTCAGTGACCATGCTGGGTGGTCTAATCCCTCCTAATCAAACTAGTGCAGACGGGCTTTAAGATTATCGTGATCAGGTAGCAGCAATCTTATGATTGCCCGAATATTTTGAGCTTTCTGTCTGAAAAAGAAGTCATTTGGCTCTCTCTCTCTCTCTCCCTCTCACTCTCTCTCTCTTCATCTCTCTCCCTCTCTCTCTCTCTCTTCATCTCTCTCCCTCTCACTCTCTCTCTCTCTCTCTTCATCTCTCTCTCTCTCTCTCTTCATCTCTCTCCCTCTCACTCTCTCTCTTCATCTCTCTCTCTCTCTCTCTCTCTCTCTCTCTCTCCCTGTCTCTCTTCATCTCCCCTCCCTCTCACCGCTCCCTCTATTCATCTTTCCGCATCCTGTTCCGCTTTCATCTTACTCTCCCCATCAATTCCTTTAATGGTCATACAAATAAAAAAAAATAAAAAAACCCTTTAATGGCTGTTTTCTTATTTTCTCACAAAATAAATGGTATTACGAATACTTTTGGTTAGCTAACAATGATTAAAGGGATAGTTAAGTTTTTGTTAAGAATGTGAATGCCTTCAAAGTGCATGGTTTATTGCTCTTATTCTTATTTATGACATTTCTAGTGCCCTTTTAGAACCTGAAATTGCTATAAAGGTAATTTTAGAACCCAAAATGTGTGAAATTTAATTAATACGATCATACATATTCCCCAGCTTCGCTCGGCGACCCGAGGCGCCACGTGCCGCCTCACCTATAACAATACACGGGCCGGCTGGCTGTGCGTGTTATATTAATCAACACGAAAAGGCCAACAAATTAAAAGCCAATATTGGCATTGGCTGGAATAAATGTATAAGACTCTATTTCGTTTTTGTAACGGCTGCTTCAAAATTACCGAATATTTGCGGGGCACCACAAATATTAGAAACCGTTATATTTATGTATATTTCAGCCGTCTCTGAACCGATTTTGACCAAACAAAGATGATTTTGTCATTTCAATTGTATATTCTTTCAAATTTGACACTTCGTTTTTCATTATCTCACACACACAAACAATCCCTTTAAGGTGTAGTTAATGAATCAGGACGACACGTAAGTGGAATACATTGTGCTCAACTTTTATTAGCGATAAAGCTATCGTCAATCATTGTCACGAAAATATAATAGTCAAGAAACATGTGGCCTGCAGTAATGAGGTATATGTGCATAATTCTACACCGTTTAAGAAATACCTTCATCTTATTCCCGTACGTTGAATGATTTATCGTTAGGAATGAGCTTACAAGCGATTGCATATTGCTTTCCAATTGTGTAACTTACATTTAGAAAATGAAAATAAAACCATTAGACAATAGTACAGTTTAGCCAACTTGACGTAATGGTTGATCGTTAAATAAAAATAGGATGACAAATAGCCTATGCGATAGTATTCCTAATATTTCATAGAAGGGGTAATGAGAGGGGGGAAAGTAGACTAACATTGGGGAGAGAAAAGACATTGAAATGGAGAATAGTCGAGGGAGGAGAGAGAGAGAGAGAGAGAAGGGGTGGGTAGAATGTGAGCGAGAAAGGAGGGGGGGAGACATAAAGAGAGCAAGAGAGAATGCAAACTATAGATGATGCAGTCAATTGAGATTTTGATCAGAAAAAACAACCTTCGATGTATTGGAAAGCCATCTATAATTATGCATTGACACCATGACTATTGAAAGTCATTTCCACCTCACTGCATTCACATATTATTATTGTGAGGCAGATTACGTTCATTGAATAAAGTATATTAATTTTGATCATTTTAACCCACTGCAAGGCAATATACACTTTCCAAATATACATTACTCTTCCGACATGCGATATAGAGTGTGAATCGGTGAGGCTATTTCTTTTTGGCGCTCAGTCAGACCCACATAATTAAATTCGGCAGCTTAACAAAATAAAATATCCATCACTTTCAATTTTGTTTCATTTTTAATTCAATAGGCAACATAAATTGTGGTGTTAAAAAAACATGTTTATGTATAATTTCATAATAAAAGAAAATATTTGATTTATAATACCTGCTGCGCCATGCAGCGTGGCTTCCCAGTCGGGCAAGGGTAGGGTAACTTCTTCTTCGACCAAGGTATATAGCACAATCACAGGTTATAAACATACTAATGATTAATATAATTAATACTTGTATAAATATATGGATCAACTGCAGAACGTGAAACTTAAATTCTCATCTTAGAATCGAAAAACATTATATTAATGGCTATTCAAAATTAGCAGAATCCTAATATCGTGAACACAATACTTCTTAATTAAGCCAAGTATTGGGCGCCCCAAATTCGCTAAGAATTTGATGGCAAAATTTCACTTAAAGGCATCGTTTAACAATGTTATATCTGAGATACACGGCCCTATACGTGTTATCAGTGTCTGTGATATGGTGTAATATTGAAGCCCTAAACAAAAATTGCGCTTCAAAATGAACAAGAAGTGCCTCAAAAAAGTAAAAATCCTTGAGTGACCGGTTTTTACCATACTCGTTATCCCAATAGACCGTAGTGTTATGAAAACCGTTAGGAAAACGCAAAATTTGGTTTCGATTTCCAATATATTTTGATCATCAGACAGGCAATCGGCTTGTAAAAGTCACGGGATTCCTGACTGACCTAAAGGTTTATACTTATTATTGCAGCATGAACTAAATCCAGGATTTTGTTTCAGAATCTGAGACGAAGTCACCGGATCCTATAAACTGGATCATGTTGTGAAAGTGGGTGTCATTAAAATCCCCACTGTACTACTGGTAGCTACTTGCGCCAGTAGCGTCACAACGTGACGGACATGTGCGCTATAATTATAGGAAGCCACCATTATCAGGTGGGCTGTATAACGTACAGACCACCTTATAATTTCGTTAGAATTGCCTTTATTTATTTATTTATTTATCAGATGGGCTGTATAACGTACAGACAACCATATAATTTTGTTAGAATTGCCTTTATATCTATTTATCAGGTGGGCTGAATATCGTACAGACCATCTTATAATTTCGTTAGAATTGCCTTTATTTATTTATTTATAACTTTTTCTTATTTCTAACCACTTTTTTGTAAGCACGATTACTTGAAAATGGCTTAATCAAATGCCTTCAAATTTGGCACACATATGTATAGGCATAATATGTACAAAGCACAATAACGTTTTCAACATTGACCTTCACTGATGACGTCATCTAGGCGCCATTTTGTAAAATTTTACGAAAATCAACAAATGATCATATCTTCATAACCAAAGGTTATTTCTCATTCATATTAATCATGATCAAGGTCATTATCC